AGCAAGAGGCAGCAGTGGCAACTATAGCAATGGCAACGGCAACGGCAGTAGCTACAGTGGCAGCGGTAGTGGCTGCCGCGGAGAGGCACTACTGGCAGTAGTGGCGGCGACAGCAGCAGCAGTGGCAGCAGCGCAGCTCTCCTAGGTCAGTGCACATGTGTCTCCTCAGCAGCTCGGCCTTCACAGATGGCAGTGCGTCCCGGTCTACAGTGGCACAGACCAGGTTTTCTACTTAGACAAGGATGTAGGACGGGGTCTGGCCGGAACGAAGCCTCTAGCAATGTAGCACCGGCCATCTCCTACATTGACCCCAGGTAGGGGAACTGAATCGACGTACTGTAGATGCTGGTGGATCTCCAAGATGCCAACTCCGCGTCCATGGCAGCTATCCACTGAGAGGCCCAGGGTCCCGAGGTCGCCTCAGCATAAGTGCGAGGGGTCGGGATGTCAAGGGCGTCTGGGTCACCCTCAGGGACTAGCAGCATGGAGCAGAGATGAGGTGCGGCCTCGAACAGGAAAGCAAGCTCGTACTGTCGATCCTCCATGACGTTACTATCGAGGGAAGGAGCACTCCCGACACGCGAAGGACAGGCAGGGTCAGAGACCTGAGCGGTGGTGTAGTCAAGGCGGTGGGTAGAGGCAAAGTCACCGACTGCAAGGACAAGAGCGTCAAGACTGGAGACAGGAACAGATGGGTCGGTAACCAGAGAGGCAAGCACCCGAGGAACAAGAGGACTAGCGGCACGGAGGAAGTCAGACAAGGGAGGCAGAGCGACAACCAGCGAGGACGGTGGAGGTGACGGGAGGAGGGGAGGACGAGATGCGTGGGAACGAAGCAACATAGGGTGAGAGCTCTGGACAAGAGAGACAAGATGAGTATGAGAGGAACGGCGAGACCGGAAGTGGGACAAAGGCGTGGGGTCAGGAGACACAGGAGAAGACACAAGAGGAGAACGCGGGGGAAAACAAGTCGGAGACGAGTCCGGCGGACGAAACACAGGGCCGCAGATAGGCGAGGGAGGCGCAGGCGGTTTGTCAAGGGAGGAAAGATCGAGGAGGCGAAGGGCAGACACTGGCAGCGACTACTGCTGCTGCTGCTCCACATCGACAACAGAACCTCCTGCGGCACCACAGTTACCTCCGAGACGCTCCACAACAGCACCCCCAAAACGAGAAACCTCTTGAGCACTGGTGCCACCTCCAGGACCGCCGAAACAAGCCACTACAGTACCCCCATGACGAGCACCCTCCTCAACGCCCGCAACCCTGGAGCTCGCGGACCCCTGCGGCGGCTGCTGCTACGTCGGTGGTGACGGCGACTGCGGCTTCGTCAACTGCTGCTGCGGCTGCGGTGGCGACGGTGGCTGCTGCGGCGGTGGCGGAGGAGGGGACATCGAGGTGGAGACAAGCGGTGACACCGAAGCCGCAGGGCCCCCAGAGTCAACCGACTCCTCGACCGGGACAACCGACGAGAGGGGAGTGACGTGAGACACCCTAGACGGGGCAGAACGGGGAGGAAGAGGAGCAGGGGCTACTGAGGGAGTGGGGATAAGGAACAGGGGCGGGGTAATCGGGAGACCACGGTGGGGAAAGCGGGTGTAGAAGGAGACAGACTCGTCAAAAGTGACGTCGCGGGAGCGAAAGAAAACGGTGAGACGGCGGGTGGTAAAAGTACCAGTCAGACGCGTCGAGGGGGAAACCAAGGAAGACACAAGGGACGGTGCGGGCAGTGAGCTTGTCCGTGCCAGATGCACGAACATGAGAAATGCAGCCCCAAATGTGGAACGCAGAGGCGTCACCAGGGAACCTGGTCCAGAGAAGGGTCGGCGAAACCTGCGGCCGCTGGGAGTGTGGCCACAGGTTAAGCTAGTGAGCAGCGTAGCGAACAGCTAATGGCCACAGAAAATGGGGTGCACCGGCATGGATCATGGAGATACGAGCCACCTCCATGACCAAACCGATGCGTCGCTTAGCGACCCCATTCAGTTGCGGGGAGTGACCTAGGCGGTGGTGTACGACTAGGAGATGCGGGGAGTGAACAGGTGGTAAAAGTACCAGTCAGACGCGTCGAGGGGTGACCTAGGCGGTGGTGCCACTGCAGTGAAGGGTGGGTGAGCGACTGACACGAGCAGGCTGCAGCTGCCTGAGAGGACGCGGCGACCTGTGGGGACGCTCCCATTGGGGGGGACGCAGTGTCCAGTGTGAACAGGCCAGACACGGGGTCCTAAGGGAACGTGGTAAGAGGGGCACCAATGGCGGCCTCAATACAGACAACGTACCGCTCATGTCCAGGAAACGTAGTGGTGACGCCAAGGTCTTGAAGACAGCCGACACCAAGCCTGTAAGAGAGCCAGAGGGGACCGCCAGATAGTGAAGGGTAGTGGAGCTACGTGCGACTACTGGACTTGAGGAGGGTCGGCAAGCGCTACGGCGGCATGGGCAGCAAGTGGTGTGAGCGTAGTGTGGTCGCCGAAGAAGCACGCAGACGCTCCAGAGTCGAGCGTGAAGTAGAGCGAAGCAGTAGCGTCGGCCGGCGGAGGGGCCAGCGTAGAGCATAAGCTAAACAAGGTAGGAGGTCCTACGCCTGACACAGTAGGGGAACCTAGACTACACACAGGAGGCACACCTACGCTAGACAGCAAAGGGTAATATGATCCAGTCACACTAGAGTCATTAGCATACATGACATACATAGCAGTCTTAATCTGATCCATGTCAAGCTCAAAGACAGGCACACGGCGTCGGGCCAGGGCGTATCAGTCAGGAAGGTCTGAGGTGGGACCAAAGCAGAGACGGAAGAGGTCGTCCGGGCAGCGGTAGCAACGGGCGGCGGTGTGACCTGGACTGTCGTAGACAGTGCTGTGGCGGTGGTCGGTCTGAAGGTGGTACAGGCAGGTGGCCACACTGGAGCCGCCACCCGACACCGAGCTGCGCGGCGCACCACCACGACCACCACCACCAGCGCCGCCAGGCCACCACGGCGGCGGAGGTCCCCACGGCGACTGCTGCTGCTGCTGCTGCTGTTGAGGATGCTGCTACTGCTGCTGCTGCTCCGAGGCACCAGCCCCGGTCGCCTCATCTGCACCACTGTCCTCGCCACCACCTCCATCACCCCCACCACCCTCACCACTCTTCCCCCTGCCACGCCCCCCCTCGGGGCGGCGGTCCTTACCGTAACGTTGTTACGTTGAGGCCGCGGCAGCGGTCTCAGCAGCAGGGGTTGTCTCAGAAATAGCGGCAAAAATGTCAGCCCTGGAAGATAGGGACTGGCGCAGTACCGCTAGACTGAGTGATGGTGCGTTGGTGGGTTTCTATCGTGGACAGGGCGGTGACAAAGGCGGTAAGGATGTGGTCACCTGGGTGTTGACTAAGGATGTGGTTGCGGGCAGTGGCTAGGCAGTGAGGAAGGCGCGTGGCAATGAGGTAAAGGGTAGCGCAAAGCGGCGGCGAGAAGTCTGTAAGTGAGGTGTGCCTCAGTGCTAGCGGCGCGGTAGCTAGTCTCTAGTGCGCGGAGGTGAGTGGCGAGGTCAGTGACAGTGGGGAAGGACACAAGATGAGGGAACAGCATAGGGAGGATCAGGTGGCCAGCAGAGACTGAGGCAGGGGTGGAATAGCGTGCGATGACAGCATCTAAGTAGTCATTGGCGTTTGCTACAGCGGTAAAGCGGGGACGCTCAGACTGAGGGAGGGCGTGACTAATGGCAAGATGAGCAACGGCATCGCGCGAATCCCAAACAGCAGAGGCAAGCTCAGCAGTGACAAAAGCCTCACGCTTGCAGACGTGGGGGCGTCAAGGAGGGCAGCAGGCGAGGCGGGGCGAGGGAGCTTACCGTCGACATGGACGGCCAGGGAGTGGCCGTTGTGGCGCTGCTCGGTTAGCTGGCGGCGGAGGTTGTCGAGCCACGCCTCAAACTCAACGGCCCGACCCTCCTCTTCCAGGCGGAGCAGAGAGTCCGCCATCACCACGGCTGCAGCAGCTGACTGCCGCTGACAAGGGGAGGAGGAAAGGCGGAGGAGGCCGGCGGAGATCGGTGGAGTGGGGTGGAGTGCAGCGGAGAGCGGTGGAGCGCGGTGGAGTGCAGTGAAATGCGGTGTAGAGCGGTGGAGTGCGGTAGAGGCAGCCGGCGGGAGCGCCGGCTCAGAGAAGGAGCCAAGGCCGGCAAGTCAGCTCTACTCGGCGGAAGGAAGGGCCGGGCCAGGCTGGGGTCGGCGGAGTTGCGGCCGGCGGGAGTGCGAGGCCGGGGCAACGAGGCAGGCAAGCACGGGGCCAGCGAGCGGGGGACGGACGGGCGCGAGGCCAGCAGGTGCAGGGCTGGCGGGCACCGGGCCAGCAGGCACGGGACGGGCATGTGCGGGGCCAGCAGGTGCAGGGATCGGCGGGCGTGGAGCTGGCGAGCGCAGGGGGCCAGCAGGCGGGACCAGCGAGCACGGGGCAGGCGGCGGTTGCCTGGCGTAAGCAGGGCCAGCGGGCGCGGGACGAGCGGGCGCACGGGGCCAGTGGGCGCTCGGGGCCGACGGGCGCTGGGCTGGCGGGCGTGGGGCTGGCGAACGCGGGGCTGGCGAACGCGGGGCCAGCGGGCGCGGGGGTGATGAGGTTGGGGCCAGCGGGCGCAGGCGGGCGGGCGCGGGGCCAGCAGTCGTGGGGCCAGCGACGAGCGGGTAAGGGGCCAGCAGTCGCCGGGCCTGAGGGCGCGGGACTAGCTACCGCGGGGCCGGCTAATGCGGGGCCAGCGGGCGCGGGGCCAGGGAGCGCCGTGCTGGCGAATGCAGGGCCAGCGGGCGCAGGGCAGGCGGGCTGGCGGCTACGGGCGGTGACAGGTGGCCAGCGGGCTACGTGCAGCTGGCGGCTAAGGGCGGCCAGCGGGCTGGCGGCTACGGGCAGCTGGCAGCTACGGGCGACGGACGGCAGGCAGCGAGGAGCGGCGGCTAGCTGCTAGCGACTGGCGGCTCTGGCTAGGGCTAGGGCGAAAGAGTGGGCAGGCGGGATCCTAACCTAGCGTGATACGGAACAGAAAGATTGACTAGAATGAGAGGTACAAGGTAGTTTTGTCTAAGGGGTTGTACTCTCTATAGGACTACTACACCTATCTACCCTATAACATATCAATGTATGTTTGACACTTTCCCCATTGCCCAACCCCCCATTGGCCAGGCATTGGCTCCTAACTCCATTAACTACAATACTAGGTAGGTAGCCATTCCACCCTAAAGCCTCTCAATTGCAACCTACCAGAAAGATCCTTCCTGGGATTGCGACCACATTGCTCCTAAATGTCAACCCCAGCCTCTCCCTCCAGCTGAAACCCTCAGTGCACAGGAACAGAAGCACAGCCTACTTCGCTCCCACCATCACCCCTCACAGCGTGAGCTCAGCCGGGAGGCACGGCAAGCGCTGAATCCTGGCCCCCAGCCCCCTGAGCTTACTATCCAGGCGCTCATAGCCCCTATCAATGTGCGCCACACCCTCTATGTGGGTGCGCCCCTCCGCTGCCATCCCCGCCAGCACCAGCGCTGCACCCGCGCGCAGGTCAGTGGCGGCCACAGGGGCGCCGTACAGCTGGCTGCCCTGGTCCCGGCCACTGATGATGGCCGTGCTGCCCGTGATCTTGATCTTGGCGCCCATCTTCTGCAGCTCCTCCACTGGTCGCAACAAATGAGAGAATACACATGCATACACAGGGCCACACACATTACCACCACCAACATGCATGCGTGTCGTACATTCCAGCCGGCCCCCATGCAATGCACAAGCACCCATGTGCACAGTGCGGGCCAAACTCAGACCGGGACAAGCGAAACGTCAGGCGAGGATCAGCCGAGGCAGCTGCAAACCAGCACGCTGAAGGCAGCTAGGGTGGATATTATAAGCACAACAAAGACATTGGTCGCACCGTGTCTCATGCGGGACTCGAAGACCGTCTCCTTGATGACGCTCTGGCCACTGGCCGTGGTGAGCACCGACATCAGCTGCGGCTGCATGTCCGTTGGGAACCCCGGGTACGGCAGTGTCGTCACCTCCGTGGCTCGTAGCGGCCAGATGCCCGGGGAGATCTGGTTGGGGAGTAAACGAAAGAGAATGGAAACCAGAGAGTGAACAGCTTGACTTCACCACCTCTTCTCCCAGCTCCCTCCCCACCCCTGTTCTTATTGTTCCACAAGTGCCACACAACCTACCCCATGGTATGCTGCACGCTGCCACGTTGCACCCCATGGCTCTCAGCTTGCTGATCACCGACGCCAGATGCCTTCCCGTGGACACGCAACACCCCAAAGCTGAGAAGCTCACCTTGAGCGTTCCAATCTTGGTCTGCTGCACGCGGCAACCCATAGCCCTGAGCTTGCTGATCACAGCCGTCAGATGCCGTGGGATCACCGGCGACAGCGACACCACGGACCGCGTGATCGCCGCAGCTGCCAGGAAGGTTCCCGCCTCAATGCGGTCGGGAATGATGGTGAACTCAGCGGGTCCCAGCCGTAGCACGCCCTTGATGACGATGGTGTTGGTGCCCGCCCCCCGGATCTGAGCGCCGCACGAGATGAGGAAATCCGCCAGGTCCACCACCTCAGGCTCCTGGAAGCGGAGGAAGAGGCCAGTGGAAAGGAGGCAGGAGGGAGCGGGGGTGGGGAGGGGGGAGGAGCCAAGGGGGGTAACAGGGGGGAGGAAGGGGGGCATGAAAGGACGTGAGGGGATTTTGGGGTCAGGGGAGGTTGCGGTAGGGGGGAGCAGACAAGTCGCACAACGCGGTCGGCACCAAGACAGCCACACCTTCCAGTACCACGAAACCTCGCAGTCACTTCCACCACCTAACTGAACTGCACGGTAAACCAGCACAATCCACCTCCCTCACCTGAGCGACATTGGAGAGGGTGGTGTCCCCATCAGCGAGCGCGGCCGCCATCATGAGGGTCTCCGTGGCGCCGGCTGACGGAAGGTCCAGCTAAAACCTTCCGCCATTTAACTGGCATTGGTCAGTCTTTACCGCCCCGCGCTTACCTGAGCGACGTTGGATAAAATGGTTTCCCCATCGGCGAGCGCGGCCGCCATCATGAGCGTCTCCGTGGCGCCCACTGACGGAAAGTCCAGGTAGAAGCTTCCGCCCTTGAGCCGCCCGCCGTCCGCCGTGTGCACGTGCACGCGCCCCTGCCGGATATCCACCTTTGCGCCCAGCGCCTCCAGCCCGCGCACGTGCAAGTCAATGGGGCGCGCGCCGATGTTGCACCCGCCGGGGAGGGGAACGACTGCTTCGCCCTGCCGCCCCACAAGCGCGCCGATCACGAAGAAGCTGGCCCGAAGCTTCCGCACCACGTCGGGGCAGGGCTCCACGGACGTCAGACAAGACGCGTCGACCAGCACGGATGAATCCTGGCCGTCCACGCCCCGCTGTATCTTCACACCGACCGATTGAAGGACCTGATGGCCGACGCAGTGGATTAAACACACACAGGGGCGAGGGGAAGGAAGACACCGACTGCTTGGATAAGACGAGGAATGCGATGGACTAGGAATCAGTAGGCGCAATGAAGGAGGATGTTGCAGCCATTCTTTGCGAGATAGTTGACAGCTCATCACTCCAGGTGGCGGTAGCAAACGCTGTTCCAATGTACGACATCGCATTACAACGCTCACATTTGGAGTTAGCCAAAAAAAAAAGGGAAAAAAAAAAAGATATTGCATTACGCGATGCAGGACAGAGAGTAGAACGCCGAGACGGATGACGCCAGACCGAACTAACTGATCAATATAGAGCTACTGTGGCCATTGCGAGCACAAACGCTCAGAGCTAGAAGTGAGAAAGGTGTGTCCATAGGACGCTCGAAAAGCGAAAGGCTAGAATGGATATCGAGAGCCGAACCTGGAACATTCGCCTGATATCGTGGAGGTCCGGCACCCGACGCAGAACGAGAGGCTCGGAGGAGCAGATAGCGCCGGCGAGAACGGCAAGAGCGGAGTTCTTAGCGCCGCTGATCGACACGTGTCCCTCCAACCCTTCGCACCGCTCCACCTCGAAACACTCCACCATCAGCGGGCTCGGTGCCGAGCCTGCTGCCGAACGTAGCTCCGAACCGGTTGCCGAGCCCAAGGTCGGTATACATAGCGGGGACAAATGGCTCCTGACGCTGGCCGAGGAAGAATTGCTACTGCTATTGCTGTCAGTAGCGGAAAGAGAGTCTAGGGAATTAAAGCAATAAGGTAATGTGCTACAGCTACTGTCAGAGTTAGGGGAAACGGTTTTAGTCAGGCACGAGTGCGAGGAGATGAAGCCGTCAGACGATCCCGTTGAGAACGCCTGCTGATCTGACGACATTCGCCATCCGTGGCTAGACTTGACGGTTGACGGCCGGCTACAGGAGACGGATAATCTCGAGGACCCGGATTGGCTCCATTGAGACGTTACTGGTGTTGACGAAGAAATCGACGACATTGACGGCTTACGCCGCGTGTCTAAACCAATCGCCGCGGAGAGAGAAGCCTGATTTGACAGCGTGGATGTAAGAGATGCTGCTGCTTCCCACGCCATGGCTGGTCCTCTAGGGTAAGCCTAAAGGAGTCAAGATCAAGCCAGAACTCTTGCAAGACAAGAGTTTCTGAGCGCTAGCAGCGACTGCTTTTGGATACTCTGCGATGCTCCAGGAAAGCTGGGAGGGAGAAGGTTGCTCCCAGCTGCTCGACGCTAGGGTTACCGCATCCTGACCAGTGGTGACATTTGAGTGGACTCAATAGTGACCTTTGAGGAGCTGGCGAATCACAGAAGATCGCGATAACCTAGACGCTGATCGGCGTCAGACTGGTCAACTCACGGGTTCAGACGCATCGAAGGTACTATTAGGAACAGAGACGCGAGGTATACAAGTAACCGCTTAGAAACTAAGTGAAGAAAGCCTGACCAAATAGGGTGAAACCGAACCCTTTCACGTAAGGGCTATGGTGGAACCTAGACCAAGTTGGTTGGCGTGGTGTACCGCCTCGACCATTTGCCGTGATGCTATGAACAGCACGACGACAGTGACCCAAGTCAGAGGCCAGCCATGGTCACACAAGTGCAGAAAAGAAAGCAACTAGCCAACGGTTGTCTGGGGAGGGCTTTCGCTAGTGTCACAATATGAAAAGGAGCGTAATACACCTGAAGGAGATGGCTTCGGAAACAAGCCATTTCAATGGCAAAATGTGTCGACAGCGTGACTGAATCGCTAGAAAATGCAGTAGTGTATCTGCGGTAGCACTGGCGCTACAAAACTCCCCCAACTGGCGCAAGTCTCCCCGATTTCTGCAGTCCATTCTGTTCCTGGACCCATCATGCCAGACCTCCCAAGGTGGAGCGAAATAGGGTAACAAAGCACGTAAAGTCGTGGAACCAATGTACTGTACCGTAGTCAAACCAGCTCTTCGCATGAAGCCTTGTTTTGTTGCTGTGTTTCGTAGAGGCCAGCCCAGTTCACTACCTCCGCCGCCCCGCTTCGCGGGCACCCCTCACGCTCCCGCCGTGCAGCTATCGCTGTCATGGCAGCCACGCAAAACCGCGGCGCTTTCGTTTCTGGTTATTGATTGGCTGGCTTGAAAGGTTTATCCAATTGATGAACCTCCCGCCAAGACAGGATCCAAACCATCTATCACCCCAACAGGGGAGAATCGCTCGTTGTGTTGAGGATGGCATAACGGCGCAGAGGCTTGGAAAACGCAGACCACATGTTGAATGGCTGGGTGATGTGACGAACGACACCAGAAACGATCTCGAAAAAAAAGGTACACTGCACATTATCCCACCTTACAAAAATCAAGTAGTTACAAAAGAGGTGGTACCACATTATTTTGGAATCAAACCTCTATTATCCAACTCCTCGTACAATCTGCATATCTTGTAACACATCCACCTGCATTCCACCATGCACAAAATGACGCTTTATCCATTCTGCTAAACAGGCGACTGGTGAAATAGTTGGCATCTGAGCACCCCGTTAGCACCTCCATTGGCCAGCCAGCGCCGAAACCCTCGGTTTGCATTCCATGCCACTCTGTGCATAGCAATGGCTTTGCACCCCAGCACACCGCCAGAGACAACTCCCGTTCCATTGTCTACCCCCTGGCTAGGCTCCTCACCTGCTTCCTCCACCTCCTCCCCTCCACCCACGTGTCCCTTCTTCGGTTTCCCCTTCCCCTTCTGCTCAATCTCCCCTTCCTGTTCCTCGCATGACTCGCCCCGATAAAATACAAAGTGGTGCTCATCTGCTGTAGCGTCAGCTGTAGCAGCTTCCGTGCCGGATTGCGCATGCGGCAGCAAGATTTGCCTGAACCCCCCCACTGTGATTACGACTTGCTTGCTCCGCTTCTGGCGGTTGATGAGGAAGTTGTTGCTCAGCTGCGAGGAAGAACAGAGCGGCGGTAATGCAGGTGCGAATAGAGGGCCAGGGGAGGGAACTTGCAAGGAGAAGCGAGGGCAGAGCGGGGTAGGCAACAAAGCAGGTGGAAGGGGGAATGGGCGGCGGCAAAGAGTGAGGTGCGAACCTAACCACAGGGGCATGTGCATGTGCATGTGTGCATGCATTTATCAATTCACACACCTGAACGCATCGGACCAACCCATCGGCAGCACTGAAGGCAAGACATCCTGCCAGCAAGACAGAGTGCAAAGAAGGAACCATAGGTGACTTTTGAGTCGACTCAAAAGTGACATCCTGCCAGCAAGACAGAGTGCAAAGAAGGAACCATGCGAGGGAGCGCGTGGGGCAGGATGTTGCCAGAAACGGCGTGTAGAAAAAATATAACGAGAATGAGTAGGAGAAAGGAAAGTCAGCCCCAGTCATGAGAGGAAGCTTGCTTGCAGAACGAGTAGAGGCGCAGCAAGAAAGAGCAGCGGCAGCACCAGCACCAGACACTGGAAGGGTGATCAAGTTATTTGACGCTAGCGAGTGTAATCCCGTCTGCAACACCAGCACCAGCGGCAGCAGTCTTAGCGATACATGTTGAAGCAGGAGCAATATCCCCATGGCATGGAATGGTATGGTATCAGCATCACCATCCGTACCTGTGGCATCCGAAGCAGCAGCGCCCCACACTGCTGCTGTGTGCTGTGATAGTGCCGACACCACCCACCGCCGGTTGCAGCTACTGCGATCCTCCTTGCGCGGCTCACCCTGCTGCTGCTGCTGCTGCTCAGGCAGGTGCTTGAGGAGGTGTTGCAGTGCCGGGTGGTGGGAGGGCGAGGAGCGCATGGAGATGACTCGTAGAGACCCATCCTCCATGGCCAGGACCACACACCTGGCAGAGAGACGGGGGGTGGGGGTTGTTGTCGGGGACAAAGGGGGGGGAAGGGGGGGGGGGGGTGTTTGAAACGCACCCCATGCTGTCGCCCCGAGGAAGGGTGGTGGGAGGGCGACGAGCGCATGGAGATGACTCGCAGCGACCCATCCTCCATGGCCAGGACCACACACCTGGCAGGGGAGGCGGTAAAGAAAGCGGAGCAGCACCTCCCCTGGCAGACATTGAGAAGCTGCTAGCTAGCCGTGGTGTGGGATTCCTGCAGGGGCGAAAGACCACTAACTCCGGTACGACACGAGGAGATATTGGACGTGGCGGTAGAAATTTATGGACACCACTTGCACGGGGTCTAGGCAATGGGATGTAAGAAAGTCCCATCGGACACCACTTACTGCAGCGGGCTGCAGAAGTCTAGCTGCAGCACTCCGTGCGTTGATATGGTGGGCGTCTCATACGGTGGGGATCTCACCTGCACCACTTGCGAGGGGTGTAAGCAACGGGATGCACCACTTACTGCAGCGGGCTGCAGAAGTCTAGTTGCAGCACTCCGTGCCTTGAGATGGTGGGCGTCTCGTACGCTGGCTGAAACACGTCCCTGGGGCATTTAGGATGGCACAGACAGAGGGCACAGCAGAAAGGAATTGAAAGGAATGGCAAGAATTACTCGTGGCACTCCGTGCCTTGAGAGGGTAAGGGTTGACATCGTGGCATGGTGGTGATGACGGTGTTGCATGGCGTGAATAGGTGGGAGCAGTGCAGCAAGGTGAGGGGATGGTACGGGTAGGAGTGACATCGTTGCATCGTGACGACGAAGTTGCATGGCCATGGTGGGGACAGGGGGTGCCGCACAGCTCACCAACTACACGCCACATGGCGCACCAACTAGTCACACCGCACCAACACGCCACATCCCACCTACAATTCACCGAGACTCACCTGAGATCCCAGAATTTCAAGATGCCTGACTGGCTTCCAACAATCAGCACTGTGCTCTCTTCCTCCTCATCCACCTCCTCTTTCCCATCCTCCTCCTCGTCCTCTAAGCCCGATTCTTGGTCCTCTAGCCCCTCTTCCTCATCCTCTTCGCCCTGCCCTCCCTCCTTCCCTAGATGCTTGCCATTCCTTGCCTCCTTCCTGGTCCTCGACCCCACTTCCCCCACCCTCACGGCAGGAGTGGAGCCAGGGGTTGAGGGCGTGAGGGACGAAGAAACCAAGTCACGAGAGGGCAGGGGCGAAGGCAGCCACGTGAGGGAGCGAATGAGAGCGGAGTCAGCACGGAATGTCAGTATTGGATTGGATGCTGACGGTGCTGGTGCGTTGGGCACTGGTGGTGGTGCCGCTGTTTTGGATGCTGATAGTGCTGATGGTACTGCTGGGGCATTTGCTGTGAGATGGTCAAGCTGCAGTCGCCACACAGACACCTGTGAAGGACAGAGGGTGAGAGAGAGAGGAGGGGGGGGGGAAGAGGATGGGGGCGGGAGGTTCGGGCACCTCGGAACAGCATCGTGAAAAGTGCATGCTCGTGGGGTGTGTGCGTTTCTGTTATGAGGCGATGCGCGTGTCAAAAGAGTCGTAAGACAAAAAGGCCACTACAACAAAGGCGGGAGTTAAGAGAAGGAAACGGGTCATTACGGACGGAACCATCGTGGAAGCCTGCAGCGAGCAGATCGCTGGAGCGGCGTGGGAAGGATGATGATAGTGACGATGACGATGACGGGGAGAGCACGGGGGCCGAAGTCACTTTCCAAGCGAGCTCGCAGGGAAGTCTGGGACCCCGTGAGAGCGAGAGGGGCCAGAGCGAGGGGGTGGGTGGGAGAAGAGCGAGATTGAGCCGCGATGGAGGGGAAGGGAGAGGAGCAAAGGCCGACAGGGAAAGAAATTGGAGTGACAGGGCTCATAACTTTTATTCTGGCCGAGCAGATTGCACTTTTAAATGCCCCGGGGTTAAAGACCCATGTGTGGGTGGCAGGGCAGCACCTGGTTGGGCCGTGTGCTGGGTTGGACTTCCACTTAAAGACGGGCTGCAGGGCGCACAGAGGGCCATGAGGCGCAGGCTGTAGCAGGGATGACGTCAGGTGCATGTGGTCGTGATGGTGTTGCTGGAGACGGCTGTTTTGGCGTGGGCTGTTGTCTTGCTGAGCTAGTGTCACGTGATAGCTGCAGTGGCGAGACAGAGCGCAACGGAGCCTGCTTTAGAGTCGACTTAAAAGTCGAGACGCATGACACTTGCAATGGCGACACAGCGAGCAAAGTTTTGAGGCGCCTCAAAGCGAGCAATGGAGAGAAGGAAGACGCGGAGCACAGAGAGCAATGGAGAGCACAAAGAGTGGCTTCCTACCGACACACTCGGATACAGTGCATGAGGAAAGGCGGATACAGTGCATGAGGAAAGGCGGATACAGTGCATGAGGAAAGGCGGATGGGATGAGAGCAAGAATGCCCAGGCATGCCCTCAAAATGGCCCCCTCACTCACATTCACATGCACTCACTCACATTCACATGCACTCACTCACATTCACAAGCACTCACTCACATTCACATGCACTCACTCACATTCACATGCACTCAATCACATTCACATGCACTCACTCACATTCACATGCACTCACTCACATTCACATGCACTCACTCACATTCACATGCACTCACTCACATTCACATGCACTCACTCACATTCACATGCACTCACTCACATTCACATGCACTCACTCACATTCACATGCACTCACTCACATTGCCATGCACTCACTCACATTCACATGCACTCACTCACATTCACATGCACTCACTCACATTGCCATGCACTCACTCACATTCACATGCACTCACTCACATTGCCACAGTGCCATCTCCCAACGCTACCGCCAGCAACTGAAGATAATCCCCATCTCCTCCTGGCCCCCCGGTGCAATCTCGCCCACCAACCAGAGGTCGCCACCTGGCGCAGCGAGTGAGCCCGCCATGGTGAGTGATTCCAAGCACCATCTGCGCCTGGGGACCTCTCTCTTCCTCTCTTCCTCGCTCTCCCCCTCTTCCTCCCCCTCTTCCTCCCCCTCGTCCTCCCCCTCTTCCCCCCCCTCTTCCTTCTCCCTTCTGCAACCCTGCCCCTCTGCTGCTTTCACCCTCAACCCCACGACCACCAGCGCCAACCCCCCTCTCCCACCTCACCTCCACCTCCCCCTCGTCGCCTTCCCATCCGACCCTCTTCCACCCTCCCGAGCCCAGTCCCTCATCCCCACCTTTCCTCTTCACTCCCACGCTACCACCCCCACCACCTCCTTCCTTCCCATCTCCCAAACCTCCTCCTTTCCCACCCGCCGCACCCCTCCCCCTCCCCCTCCCCCTCCCACGCCCTCTCCCACTCTCTCCTCCTCTCCCCCTTCCTCTCCCCACCCCTCTTCCCCTCCCGCGCCCTCTACCTCTCCCCCTTCCCCGTCCGCTCGCCTGCATCCACCAGGGCATACTCCCCTCCGCTCCGCCCTCCCATTCTCCCCCTTCATCCCCCTCCCCTTCCCCCTCCCCATCCGCCAGCCTGACCGCCCACACCTGCACCAGCGCTGGTCCGGACAGGGGAAGGCCGATGGGGGAGAGTGGGCGGAGGTGGGGGTGACTGGCAACGGCGAGGTACTGAATGTGACTGTAACGGGGGAGGGGGCACCAATCAAGGGCCCAGATCGGTCCCCCAACGAACATGGCGAGATCGTGGCTGATGCGTGACTCCTCCCCCTCTGCTGCTGCTTCTGCTCCTTGCTGCTGATTGATCCCTATTCGCTTCCCCCCTTCGTGTGCCTGTCTCCGCCTGTCTTGCGCTGCAGTTTGCTTCCCTTCCTGCTGCTTCCGCCTCCGCTCATCCTCCGCCTGCACCGCTCTCCGCTCCGCCAGCTCCCGCCGTCCGCGCACTTCCCGCTGCACCGCGTCCAGCGCCACGCAGCCAAATAGCGGCGTGCGGAACCGGCCGCGGAAGATCGGCGGGGACGGGGAAGCGACAGCTGGGGACAGGAGAGTTGATCCGTCCTCGCTAGAGTCTTCATCGGTAACGGAAAGGACAGGAGACGAGAGTGCTAAAGCAGCGAGATACGGAGTTTCAGTAGGGCTCTCGGGAGGTGGAGGTGCAACCAGGGATGGCTGCGAGGAGCCCATTTAGTGCCGTTCGGTATATCACACAATATCCCTAATCAAAACGTGGCTGACGACAGTATCCCTAGCCTGAGGAGCCATGGACAAAGTTGTGAATTTGGCATTCGTAGGGAAAAACCTTTTAAGTGCCAGAAATACGCGTTTAGTGTAACGCGTTTGCGTCACGGGAACAGCGTTGAACTACAGTGATCCTTCCGAAAGCCTATCACTTTGCACGAAACTCAACCTCCAAATCAGGGCCAAACCATCCGAGCCTGCAGGTCCCGAGTTGATTGGCTGACGGGGAAAACCGCCCAGACTGGAAGACTCTTCTGTCAGCCAACCAAACCAAACCACGGGTTTCCCCTTCCAGGCCTCCCCCACAGCGCCTGCCGAGCCGAGATATCTGATGGCCAGTTTGCTGGTTGACGTGCATGAGCCTCTAGAATCTTGGAGGCTCCGTGTCTGGCCCTGATTTGTGTGTCAGACGGTTGGCTGGTCTTCCGGGGGTGGTGACGAAGCAACAAGGAAGATCGCAATCACTGTTGGTTGGTGGTGTGAAGTGGTCTGTCCGTGTTCGTCCTTGTTGCTACCACACGATGCCTTGACCTTCCGGCTACCACACCAGCACCCAGAGGTCCGGACATACCAAACCGAGCAAAACTGAACCGGCTCCGTCCGGCCATTTCCTTGCCTGCCTCTGCTTCTGCTTCTGCTTTTTGCTTTCTGCTTTGTGCTGTACGGCACTGTACATCGGAGAATTCGGGATTCTGTTAGTCAAGCATTTCTTCTTCCTAAGTAAACTTGAAGTGACTACGATTGTCCACCTAGGTAATTCCACTCGTGGTTGAAGTTAGCTTTTTTCTAAGTGAAGTTTGTGGTGATGGCTGCGGTTCAGTCTGAACCGAGTTTAGACTATGTTTTAACGGCGGATCCGCAAGATTGCGTCCCATCCAGCACAGCCATGGACGAGCGGACCACTTTTCTGGACGAAGAATGGGCATCGCTTTTACAGGATTCATCAACCGCGCCTCTCGCAGACATCGATATTTCTGCTTTCGCCAACCTTCCAACCGATATTTTAGAGGGCTTTCGCGACGAGACTGGCATAGCGACGGACGGAACAGCGCTGGACGGAGCAGCGATTGACGGAGCAGCCGTCGATGTGGAACTAGGGGAGCGGCCTCTAAACAAACTGTTTCCGCTAAACACGGACGACGTGCTTTTTTGCGATGAAGGTGGCAGTATTCATACAGCTGGCGGGCCGCAGCTTCTCGATACCCCTCCTAGCGGCCGGTCCTCGCCCGAACCGCTGGTTTCCATTAACCATCTGGGTCTGCCGTATTTGGTTCAGGGAGGTAGTCACGGCGCAGACGGTAGCAGCGACGGTGACTGTGGCAGTGGTGACTATAGGAGCGGTGATTGTGCGATCGGTGGCTGTAAGGAAGGGAGCAGCAATACCGGGAGTCCGTGGCATCAGTCAAGTGCCATGTCAGCACATCCGTGCGCTGCTGCTCCCCTGTATGCCGCTACCCCTCCGATGGCTACAGGCGGGGGATTAAATACGGGCGGATCATTAACCGGGATTCCGCCGCCTCAGCTTCCCGAGAGTATGGTGAAGCAGGAAACGGTGTTCGCGCAGCAACAGCAGCTGGCATCCCAACTCGCGATGCAAAGTGCTCGAGCTCAGGCTTTGCCTTTCCCGGTGTCCGTAAGTTCGTGTTACCAACAGCAGCAGCAGCCGCAGCAACAGCAGCAGCAGCCGCAGCAGCAGCTGCAGTATCGCTTGCAGAAGCAGCAGCAGCGGCGGCAGCAGCGGCAGCAGAAGCAATTACAGAAGCAGCAGCAGCAGCAGCAAAAACAACAGCTGGATACAGCGTTGTCTGGCTGTCATCTAACTCCATGCACGGGCCAGAATCTCCCCTCCACTCTGCCTGGTTCCTTTCAGTTTCAGGCCGCACAGGATGCTGCCACGTGTACGGCCGCAAACGTCGGCTTTTTTCCTGAAAACGCAAGTGTTGGAGCAGAAAATGTTCAGAAGGAGTGTGAAAGCGGGGGGGCAGAGGCGCGAGGTTCGGTCGCCGGTGGTGGCAGTGGTGCGGCGGCGGCGGCGGAAGATGCGGGCAGCGAGCCGAGCGAGGGGGATGGGGACGAGGGGGGAGAGGGGAGGGACGCGGAGACGGAGAAGCGGGAAGCGCGGCTGATTAGAAACCGGGAGAGCGCGCAGCTGTCGCGACAACGAAAGAAGGTACGCTCCACGTCTGTCGCCCATGCTGCCGCCCGCAGTCAGTCGTCGCAGACAGTCGTCGCAGACAGGCGTCAGACGTACCGGCGATGCTTGGCATGGTCAATCCAGAGCCTTCTTTGATACATCTACAACTTTGCTCCCGATCTCACTTGCACCCTTGGTCCTGCCCCCCCCCTCCCCTTCCCCTTCCCGCCGCCAGTACTACATGGACGAGCTGGAGGCGCAGATCCGCACCATGTCCGCGGCGGTGGCGGAGCTCAACTCCGCCGTCGCGCACCTCACCGCGGAGAACGTCAGCCTGCGCCGCCAGCTCGCCTTCTTCTACTCCTCCCCTGCCGCCGCTTCCGCCGCCGCCGCCGCCGCCGCAGCTGGAACAGGAGGTGCTGCAGGGTCCGCGGCTGCTTTAGGTTCGGGGATGGCGGCGCCAGGGTCGGCACGAGGCCCGGGTAGACGCAGGAAGGGAGGTTCGGCGGCTGCGTCTGTAGCTCCTCCTACTGCAGGTTTGCCAGGCCTTGCCCCTCCGATATTGGGGCCGTTAGCTGGGATTGGTAGCATCGGCGGGCTAGGGTTACCACTAGGGGCGTTAGGGTTACGTGGCTTGTTCCCTCCCGCCCCGCCCGTTCCGATCCCGAAGCTTAAGAATGTGAGCCGGCCGGAATCCGCTAAGAAGAAGAAAGGCGCGCCTGGGGGACGCGGCACACCAGGGGACGCTGGGGAGAAGGACAAGGGTAGGAAGAAGCAGAGGAAGGACGCCGAGGCAGCTGGACGGGATGCAAGTGCTTCTGCTGCCAATGCCTGTGTTACCACTGGTGGTTCTCCTGTTGCTGCTACTGCTACTGCAACTGCTACTGCTACTGCTACTGCTCCTATCAGACCCCCGTCCCCATCCCGTGCTGTCTCCGCCACCAAGGCACCGGCGCTCGCCCTCGCCATGTTCGGATTCCTCCTCATCCTCTGCCCCTTCCTGCCGCCCAATGACGGGCTCACGCGTGGCGTCGCCCCGTATTCAGGCGGATGGCAGAGCAGCGGTATGGGCTGGCAGGGTAGCGGGGCCAGCAATTGGGATGCCGCCGGTAGATGGATGCAATTGGGGGGGAGCTGGAGGGAAGGGTGGCGTTGGTGGGGCGGTGACGGGCAGAGGGGTGAAGGGACGGGAGGGGAAGGGCAGGGGGGAGAGTGGGGAGGAGAACTGGGAGGGGACGGGGGATTGCGACATGGTGGACGCGTGCTGCTGAGTGTGAAGGAGGAGGGTGGAGAGGGACAGACTGTGGACGGTGAGCATTTAGGGCTGTGGTGGAACGCCAGGGAGAATCGGAGCATGAGTGGTTCAATAGCGCAGCAGGGTCGCGCTGTGGAATCCGTGGATGGGAAGCCCTTGTGGAATCTCAGGGTTGTGGCACCAGCGCGGGAGCTGCATGCGCCTGACAGGGAGCAGCAGAGGTTCCCCTCCTTCGCAGCTGTGTCGCGAGGGCAGGTGCGCAACCACACAGCCGACAGGGCTTTAGCAGCAGACTCTCAAGCTGTGGGGACCGGTGCTCACAGTGGCGGCGCTGCTGTTTCTGGGGGAGATGTCAGCCCAAGGGCCAGTGCTAGCAGCAGTGTTGGTAGGCGATTGGGCGGGTCGGCAGCGAAGGCTCTTGTGCCATGGCGCCAGTCTTCAGCTGCAAGCGTCCTCAGCAGCCGGGCAGCAGGCGGTGGGGGTGATGGTGGGAAGGCTGCTGCAGGCTTGAGAGCTGGGGCTAGCAGTGGGCGAGTGGCGGGAGCGTTACCTGCAGCAGCAGCAGAAATGGAGGGCTCGTTGTCGTGGGATGAGCAACACTGGCAGCAGTGGCTGCTGCAGCATAGCTCAGGTGAGGGGATGGTAGCACATGGTTGGCTTTGGTGTTGGTGAAAGAGGGTGTCGCCCCATGCATTACGGTTCCGTTTAATCTGCAATTCTTTGATTCTTCTGTTGCCTGGTGATGCTGTGCTGCTAACTCACGTTTTCTTGCTTTCGTTCGTTCCCCTGCGCTGGTGCGTGTGCAGGCCCGTTGTTCCACTCTCATGTGTGCACGGAGCTGTTCCGGTTCAACTCCGAGCCAACCCAGGCAGCACAGGAGGGAGCGCAGGAGGGGGAACAGGAGGAAGCAGGAGAGACCACACGTGAAGGGGGCAGCAGCAGGGGGCCCTCAGGTGGCTGTGCAGGCAGCAGGCACGCCAATTCCAGCTCTACTGGTAGCAGCAGGCATGGCGACACTGGAGGGTACAGCAAAGGTCCTGCAAGGCACAGCAACATTGCCATGAGCAGGCACAGCGGCAGCAGTGGTCCCACCGCCACCACCGCAGTTACCAGCAGCAGCAGCAGCAGCAGCAGTAGCAGCAGGATTACTGAGGAAGCAAGCCAAGGCTCACCCCCTCCTGTGCCTGTGCCCGTGCTGTCTCGCCGCACGTTCCTGCGAAGGCGGTACCTGAGGGAGGTGCCGACTTCAAAGCAGGCCATCCCTCTGCCAGATGCGAACCAGGCCATCCCCCTCATGCCCCCCGCACAGGACACTGTCAGCTCTGCTACTAACCAGAACGTGATCAGGTCTGGTGAGGGTCGGAATGAGGGGGGCAGCGGTGAGGCCAGCACTGTGAGCGTTGATGTGAGCGGCAGCTTGGAGCACAACTCTACTGCTCATCTTACCAGTACTCGGACGCGGTCAGTCGCAGCTGCTGCTGCTGGGAGAGCAGCAGCAGGTGCAGCAGGCCCAGCAGGTTCAGCAGGTTCAGCAGGTTCAGGTGCAGGTGCAGGAGCCAGGGGAGGTGGTAGTGTGGGCTTGCGTCTCCCATTGCCTGGGCAGCAGGGCGGGTTGGAAAAGTCTGCGCCAGTTGTTGTGTCGATTCTGTCGGGTGTTGATGCCAGCAGCCTGGGCGCGTTTGTTCAGAGTGGAACCCCCCGAGGGTTTGCAGGGGCAGATGGGGTTGGGGGTTCTTCAGAGAGGGTGGGTAAAGGTGGGGCAGAGGAGGAGCTGAGGCAAGGGATGGCGGGGAGTGTTGTGGTTATGGTGACAAGTGGAGGGAAGAGCGTGGCTTATGCTTGCGCCTTGCATGCCTCTCAAGGGAGCAGTAAGGTCGGTGGGCTCGTCCAGGCACGATCTGGTTAGGCTACTAATCTGCTGGAGTCTCCCGATTCAGGTTTTTTGGTTTAGGATTTTTTGCTCACAGCTGACCAGACACTTGTGTCCACAATTGTGTAGGCTTTGGGTTTGGGATCAAAATCATGTATTACCTATGTTACCTGTGGCTATTTATCACGCAGGCGAGCTGGAATCGAAAGGATGCCTCGCTGTCAACAAGTTGGAACCTAGTGAAAGGAGTTGGAACGGAGTGGGTGTGTGTATTGAATATTAGTAGCCCACCATTTCTAATTGTAGAGTACACTCAGCAAGAACCCTTCTGGAACGCCGTACGCGTTTGTGGCTCCTCCCCGCAACCCCTTTCCCTCTCGCTCAACATTTAGGGTTTTCCGCCAACTCCTCATAGCTCCTTTTCTACTTCCAGGCTCTAGGGCCTCGTACGACCGTCTTGCGCTGCTGCCCCTCTCCCACGGCAGCCGCAGCAACGCCGCTTCGCGAATCGCGAGCGTCCTGGTCGTTTCTTTTCGGCGGTGTTTTCCTTCTCCTTGCCGTAGCGAAACCTTGTATTGAGATACAGTTTGTCCGTAACCCACAAGCCGAGCCACGACGGCCTTAGTGACTATCCGTCAATCCATCCCTAAAATTTCGTAACTTCCTCCGAATTCGTCTATCCGCCCGTCGCCTTTTCGGCTTCGCTCGCTCCGGTCGCCTCTTAGGCATCGCTCCCCCCGGCCGCCACGATGGTGCAGTACAACTTCAAGCGCATCACGGTGGTCCCCACCGCCAAGGACTTTGTCGACATCGTTCTGTCCAAAACGCAGCGCGGCACGCCGACGGTGATCCACAAGGGCAGCGCCGTTAACAGAATCCGTCAGTTCTACATGCGCAAGGTCAAGTTCACGCAGCAGACGTTCCACGACAAGTTAACGACGATTCTTGACGACTTTCCGCGGCTCGAGGAGATCCACCCTTTCTATGGCGACCTCCTTAATGTCCTCTACGATAAGGATCATTACAAGCTCGCGCTCGGACAAGTAAGGGGAAGTGGATTTAATTGGCAGGGGGTTGAGGGGGAAAGGAGGGAGTGACTGGGGCGTATACGATAACGACCTCTTTAATGTGCTTTACGATAAGGACCATTACAAGCTCGCGCTCGGACAGGTAATGGAGAGAGAAGGGGAAGGGGGAGCGCGACTGGAGTTGCAGAGGGGTTCTGGGGAATTCGGGTTTATACTATGGCGACCTCCTTAATGTCCTCTACGATAAGGATCATTACAATCTCGCGCTCGGACAGGTAAGGGGAAGTGGATTAAATTGGCAGGGGGGTGAGGGGGAAAGCGGGGAGAGACTGGGTTGTATGCGATAACGACCTCTTCAAGTTGTATATGACAAGGATCATTACAAGCTCGCGCCTGGATAGGCAAGGGAACCGCTCCGGGTTTTGAGGGACAGAGGGAAGGGGGAACTGCGCCGGGGTTTTGAGGGACAGGCGGAAGGGGGAAGCGCTTCGGGGTTTTGAGGGACGGGGAAAAGGGGGGGGCGCTCCGGGGTTTTGAGGGACAGGGGGAAGGGGGAACCGCTTCGGGACTTGGGGTTAAGGGTTTGGGAGAAGGGAGAGGGGGAGGGTGGGAGAAAGGGGGTGGGGTACAGACAGAGGGTTATTGTCTAGACTTATTGCCAGGTTTCGTGGATTGAGCTCGTAAAGTTGTATTTTGAGTCGACTCAAAATATATCCGAAAGAAAAGCTTCATGGTGTCTTGTCCACCCTTTCATCCCCGAGCATCCTCCCGATTCCCCGCTGCCCGTACAGGTGAACGTTGCTCGCGGCATCATCGACTGCATAGCGAAGGAGTATGTGCGCCTGCTCAATTACGGCGACTCGCTCTTCTGCTAGCCTCTAAACACTTGCTCTCTCCCCCCCATCCCCCCCCCCCTCCCCCCAACCCCCCCTCTGTCCGTGCAGGTGAACGTGGCGCGCGGCATCATCGACCGCGTCACCAAGGAGTACGTGCGCCTGCTCAAGTACGGCGACTCGCTCTACCGCTGCAAGCAGCTCAAGCGCGCCGCGCTGGGCCGCATGTGCACGCTCATGCGCAAGCAGGGGCCGTCGCTGGCGTACCTCGAACAGGTGCGTTGACCTGGCTTGATCGGGCTTGACTTGACTTGATCTGGCTTGATCTGGCTTTTCCAAAGGTGCGCTAGGGTTTGTGACATGCGACCCAGAGCCGCGTTGGAGGCACAAGTCAACTTCTGTGTGCGCCACATGTCGTAGGTCTGGCAGCACATGTCGCGTCTCCCTTCCATCGATCCCAACACGCGCATGCACCATCCTGGTGTGCGGGTACCCCAACGTTGGCGAGAGCGCAAGAGCTCGTTACAAGGCTCGCAATGCTTTCTTTCTGCCCCCTCCGTTACACCCTGCTTTTGAGTCGACTCAAAAGCTTCCTGCCCTCTCCATTGCACCCTTCTTACCCATGTAACAGGTGCGGCAGCACATGTCCCGTCTGCCCTCCATCGACCCGAACACCCGAACCATCCTGGTGTGCGGGTACCCCAACGTGGGCAAGAGCTCGTTCGTGAACAAGGTGACCCGCGCCGACGTGGAGGTGCAGCCGTACGCCTTCACCACGAAATCGCTGTTCGTGGGCCACACCGACTACAAGTACCTGCGCTGGCAGGTGAGCCTCATGGGGTGCCTGCCTTGGCAGGTGAGAATCACTCTGGGGGAAGGCGAGGGCAATTTGGGGGGCAGTTGAGGAGGAGTGGAAAAAAAAAACGGATGGTAGTGGTGTGCAATGCAGTGCCACCATAGGCATTGGAGGCGTGGAGGTGCAGCCAGCGGCACTGTGACAAGATAGATTTAGAGTCCACGCAAAAGGAATAGGGGAGAGAGCGGTAGATGGTGGTGTGTCATCCAAGGCATATCTTATGGACGCGTGGAGGTGCAGTGCAGCGCAGCCGTACTGTGACGGCCTTGGCGCATCTGAGAGCCGCGGCTCCCTCCCCTTGACCCCTGCGCCTCCATTTCTTACCCAGGGGTCAAGTGCAGGAGCCGCGGCTGCAGGGGTAATCAACCTGGGTCCTGGGGTAATCAACCTGGGTCCTGGGGTAATCAACCTGGGTCCTGGGGTAATCAACCTGGGTCCTGGGGTAATCAACCTGGGTCCTGGGGTAATCAACCTGGGTCCTGGGGTAATCAACCTGGGTCCTGGGGTAATCAACCTGGGTCCTGGGGTAATCAACCTGGGTCCTGGGGTAATCAACCTGGGTCCTGGGGTAATCAACCTGGGTCCTGGGGTAATCAACCTGGGTCCTGGGGTAATCAACCTGGGTCCTGGGGTAATCAACCTGGGTCCTGGGGTAATCAACCTGGGTCCTGGGGTAATCAACCTGGGTCCTGGGGTAATCAACCTGGGTCCTGGGGTAATCAACCTGGGTCCTGGGGTAATCAACCTGGGTCCTGGGGTAATCAACACCCCATAATCCTGGACCACCACCCGTTGGGCAGCATCTCCAAGAGGCCAACACCATCGAGATGCTGTCGTTGACAGTGTTGGCGCACCCGAGAGCCACTTCTCACCTCCACTCCTCCTATCTGTCCCTCTTCTTCCGCTCACTCCCCACCACAGGTGATCGACACCCCCGGTATCCTGGTCCACCTCTCGGAGGAGCGCAACACGATCGAGATGCTGTCCGTGACTCAATCTTATCCGGCCATTGCCTTCGTTCCCCTACCAGGTGATCGACACCCCCGGGATTCTCGACCACCCCCTGGAGGAGCGCAACACCATTGAGATGCTGTCCGTGACGGCCTTGGCGCATCTGAGAGCCGCGGTGCTGTTTGTGGTGGACGCGTCTGGCAGCTGCGGGTACACGCTGGAGCAGCAGGCGGCGCTCTTTAATTCCATCAAGGTAACGAGGATACATAAGCGGTGGCCCTTTAGCTGCGGATACACGCTGGAGCAGCAGGCGGCGCTGTGCATTTTTCGTACGCCTAAAAAATAGAACGCTGGAAAAATAGAACGCTGTTAAAATAGAACGCTGGAAAATTAGAACGCCTGATGCTGCGGACAAACGCTGGAGGAGCAACAGACGGTGATGTTCAACCAATCAAGGTAAGCAGCCTCTAGCCACGGTCCTATTATAATGGTGTGGGTTTTCAGATGCCATTACGAGTCGTGGCTCTGAAAACTGCTGGCTGGTTTGTGCTTGGGCAAACAACATACCGCGTTTCCCAACTCATTCGACCCCTCCGCCCTCTTTCTCCCGCCAATTCAGCTTCCCTCCTCGCCTCCCTCTCCCTACCTGTTTCCCCCTCTCCCTTTCCCTCCCTCGCGTTCCCCCTCTTATCCCCCCCCCTCTTCTCCTCCTCTTTCCCCCCCTCCCGCTCATGTCTCTCCCTCTTATCCTCGTTACAAACAGCCTCTCTTCCTGAACAAGCCTCTGCTGGTGGTGTGCAACAAGGTGGACCTGCAGCCGCTGGAAACCCTCTCGGAAGCCGACAGGAAGGTGCTCCAAGACATGGCGGCTGAGGCCGCTCGCTGCGGTGGGCCCGGAATCGCTCCTCCTGGTGGTGGGGGTGGGGAGGGAGCGATGGGGGAGGCGGTGATGGAAGGCGCGGAGGGCGCGGGGTGCCTGCTGACAATGAGCACCATGACTGACGTCAACGTCGCTGCTGTCAAGAACGCTGCGTGCGAACGGCTGCTGCAGGTGAGAATATGGTGCGGTGCTGTGCTGCAGGTAATAAGAGGGAGGGAAGGGGCAGTGATGGGAGGGGGCGGAGGGCGCGGGGTGTCTGCTGAGGTGACGATGAGCACCATGACGGACGTGAGTCGATTTTACACACACTGTTGACGATGAGCACCATGACGGACGTGAGTCGATTTTACACACACTGTTGACGATGAGCACCATGACGGACGTGAGTCGATTTTACACACACTGTTGACGATGAGCACCATGACGGACGTGAGTCGATTTTACACACACTGTTGACGATGAGCACCATGACGGACGTGAGTCGATTTTACACACACTGTTGACGATGAGCACCATGACGGACGTTAACGTGGCTGCTGTCAAGAACGCCGCCTGGAACGGCTGCTGCAGGTGAGGGGAGGTGCTGCGTGCTGCTCTTGTGACTAGCTGTTGCATTGCACGGGAAGCGCTCGCCGCCGCCTGTGTTGGTGTGAACGTGGAGGGTGCCAAGAACGCCGCGTGCTAGCGACTGCGGCAGGTGAGGGGCGGTTGTCTTGTGAGCAGGTCCGTTATGGACAGGTGCGATGGGGCTTCCTGCCACGTGTCCCTGTTGGAGTGGAAGCGTGAGGAGTCTGTTTTTGAGGCGCCTCAAAAACAGACTCCTCACTGTTGGGGCGGAAGCTCGGAAAGGATTACCAGGAGGAGATGGGCGGTGCGGGCGGGCATCAAACCCTCCCCCTCTTTCCTTCCCCCCCTTTTTTCTTGGCTCCCCTTCGCTTCAGATGCGCGTGGAGGCGAAGATGCGCAGCAAGAGAGTCGAGGACGTGGCCAACCGCATCCACGTGGCCATGCCGCGGCCTCGTGACAGCAAACCCCGCCCGCCAGTCATCCCTCAAGCCGTGCTGGACCGCCAGGCCAAGGGGATCAAGCCGTCCGAGGGGCGCAAGCTGGAGAAGGACTACCAGGAGGAGATGGGCGGCGCGGGCGCGTACGTGGCGGACCACACGCGGCCGTACCTGTTGGAGGACGACACGTGGCGGCAGGACGTGGTGCCTGAGATCATGGACGGCAAGAACATCGCGGATTTCGTGGATGCGGATATTCTGGCGAGGTTGGAGGAGCTGGAGAGGGAGGAGTGGGAGATGGAGCAGCAGGCGGAGGGCGCTGGGGAGGCGGAGTGGGGCGAGGCGATGGATGACGAGGAGGAGGACCTGGCGCCTGAGGAGGCTGAGGCTCTTGCGGCCATCAGGTGGGAAGCGGGTGGTTGCTGGTTGTGGGTTTATGCGAGGTTTGTAAGTTGGGCCACGGGAGGGACTTGATGCTGTCAGCCTGTCAGCCTGTCAGCCTGTCAGTTACAATATGTGTGGACCTGGCGCCGGAAGAAGCAGAGGCTCTGGCGTGGCGGCCATCTGGTGTTTTTGACTTGGGGTTTGGGGCACCTGGTGCCGTTGGAGGTGTGGGTTGGATTACGGGCGAGGGCGAGTAGGGCGAGGCGAGGATTTGGCGCCTGAACAGGCTGAGGCTCTGGCTGCTATCAGGTGGGTTTGGGGCATTGAGGGCCGTGGGAGGGCATCAGGTGGGTGGAGTAATTGCGTTGTTGCTTGTCCCCATCATCATCACTCCATGACCCACACCCACACACCCCTCTGCTCCTCCTCCCACACCCACACACCCCTCTGTTCCTCCCATCGTTTTCCCTTCCCCCCCGCCCCCCTCCCCTCTCTCTTCTTCCCTCCTCTTCCCCATCCAGGCTCAAGAAGAAGCGTCTAATCACCCACCGTCACCGCCAGCGTTCCGTCACGGATTCCCGGCCAATCCTGCCGCGCCACGCGGACACGGGCCGGCAGTTCACGGCGGAGCGCATGCGGCGCGAGCTGACCTCCATCGGGCTGGACCCGTCGGCTGCCCTGGCGCGCATCAAGGAGGGCAAGACTGGGGAGGGTGGGGACGTGAGCGGCGGCGGCACGGTGGCCAAGGGGCGGAAGAGAAGCCGGTCCATGGCTCGCGACGGCATGGAGGTGGACGGGGAGGAGGGAGGGGGGAGGCGGGGGCTATCGAGGGGCCGGGAAGGGAGGCGGGAAGAGCGTGAGGAAGGGGAGGAAGGGGGGATGGAGTTGGACGAGGCGAACGAGGAGCGGCTGCGCAAGCGGCTGCGGCACATGTCACGGTCGCGGTCGCAGTCGGTGGGGAGGATAGGCGGCACGGCGATGGCTCTAGCGGCGGAGGCGGTGCCCGGGGAGGGGTTCCGAGACACGGAGCAGAAGGTGGCGGCGGTGAAGCTGTCGCGGAAACACGCGACCAAGAGGAATGTGCAGAGCAAGAAGGGCGAGGCGGACCGGACGATTGTGAATGTGAGGCCCAAGCATCTGTTCTCGGGGAAGAGAGGTGCCGGGAAGACCGACCGGCGGTAGGGAGGAGGGGAAAAGGGTTATGGCTGCGCTGTGCAGTGGTCGTTTGTGGCATTACCGGTAGCACAAGATCAGTCTGGAGCAGATGTGACAGGCAATGCCTGTAGCTTCATGCACGCGTGCATTGGGGATTTATTCTGCGGCTTCTGTACCTTGGAAAGCGTGTTCTTTTCTGCTGGTGTCATGGTGGCTAGGTGGTTCTAGGAGCATGGACAAATTGCCAGTGATACCAAGCACTATTGCCACATAATTGACAAATCTGTATGCTTGAGCGAAGCTCCTTGCGGACATGTCTTGCATACTTGCATTCCATGGCACTCAACTAGGGCAGTGCTGCTGGTTCCAGCACCAGCAGACCATCAGCACCAGCAGACCATCAGCACCAGCAGACCATCAGCACCAGCAGACCATCAGCACCAGCAGACCATCAGCACCAGCAGACCATCAGCACCAGCAGACCATCAGCACCAGCGACATCAGCAGTTGTCAGCAGCTAAGATGCACCGCTCTCCTCGCCTCACATGTGGTGATCGCACAGCTTCCACCCGACAGTTGTTGTCCGTGTCACTCATCCACTCCGCACAGCTCCTCTCCATCCATCCCTCCAACCATGCCACTTGTGCTGATTGTGCTGCGTGTGCTGCGTGGTCTGCCTGTGCTGCCTGTGTTTCGGCCCCTGGTCCTGGCGCAGGTTTGCTGCCACCGCCACTCCTCTTCTGTTGGACTCTGCTGCTTCCCCCAATGCTGCTGCTTCCACTGCTGACCCCACCTGGTTCTCCTCCCTCCCCACCTCCCTGCATGCCCTGCCGAATGCCAGCCCACAATGCGTCTGCTGTGTGTCCTGCCACCCGTTTCTCATGCCTCTCACTCTCACCCACCTGATCTGATATCACACCTGCGCCCTGCTGCTTGCTCTCATGTGTGGCCTGTGCTGCCTGCCCCCCTGCGCCATCTCTCCCACCTGTAAAAAAACCCCAGAGACCCCATAGCCTTTCCGTTGCTTCCTCGGGCCTAGCAGTGCCACCAGTGTTGTGTTGGGAAACACTATGCAGAGCCCTCCTGCCATCACTGCCCTCACCACCATCACTAGCAGCACCACCTATGCTGCCTATTCCTCTGAGCACGTCTGCTCCTCCCCCGGGAGCTGCCTCTGCTGCTCTGAGTCCCTCTGCAACGAAATCCCGGGCCAATTCCAGCAGGCGCTGCAGTGACGCCACGTCATGCTGAGTCAGCTCCACGAACCGCGACTGGACAAAGTGGTCCCGGCACTCAAGTCGCCGCCGGCAGGCCTCCCTGCTGACGTGTGCAAACGTGGCGTCGCCTGGTTGGAGGGTGGGCCCGCGGTGGCACTGGTGCAGCAGGTAGAGCGCACCTGCTGACGTGGCCATGCCCTCGAAGATGATGTGCTGCACCTTGTACGGCTGGATCTCCAACACCACTGGTACCGTGGGGCGAGGGGAGGGGATGGTGGGTGCTGTTTCGGTGGCAGCAGCAGCAGCAGCAGCGGAATCACCAGAAGCAGCACTGGTGAAGGTAGCAGCAGCAGCACCACCGGCAACACTAACACCAGTAGAACTACCAGCAGCAGTGGCGGCAGCAGCAGTGGAGGGCCCGTGGTTGAAAGCGGAGGCGAGAGTGAGGCCAGCGCCGTGCAGCCCTACAATGATGTCCGCCTCCTGCACCAGGGCAAACTGCTCCGCAAATGACAGCCTGGCGAAGTCAGCCTCTTGCACGGTGACACCTGGCAGTGTGTGCAGGAGGTGCTGGAAGGCCGCCTCACTTGATTGGTTGAACGCCCGCCGCGCGCCGTGGCTGCTGGCGCTGTTGTTGGCGCCGATAGTGCGCCGGATGTAAAGAATACGAGGGAGGGGAGGGGAAGAGGAGGAGGAGGGGGAGGAGGAGGAGGGGGAAGTGGGATCAGTGGCATCGATGGTGGATGTAAAATAGGAGGAGGGAAGGTGATGGGATGAGTTGAGGGTGTGGCGCAGGTGGGAGTGCAGGCGAGATGCCAGGAGGAGACTGCCGGGATAGGCTGACGCCTGGGAGAAAGCAGGGGTGGGTGGGAGAGAGGGGGAAGAGAGGAAGAGGGATGTGTGAAGTGAAACAGCAACGCATGAGTCCAACAGCTCTTCAGGAATCCCCACATGTGGGCGCAGCTCGCATGTGAATGCTCAGCGTTTTGAATTTCGCCGACGGGCAGTGAACAGTGCACCTTGAGATTGCCGGTGAACAGTGCACCTTGAGATTGCCGGTGAACAGTGCACCTTGAGATTGCCGGTGAACAGTGCACCTTGAGATTGCCGGTGAACAGTGCACCTTGAGATTGCCGGTGAACAGTGCACCTTGAGATTGCCGGTGAACAGTGCACCTTGAGATTGCCGGTGAACAGTGCACCTTGAGATTGCCGGTGAACAGTGCACCTTGAGATTGCCGGTGAACAGTGCATTCGCGAAGCACACCGGACGGTCTCTTGTGGCATTCCCAAGGGACCCTTCAAACTTCACAGCTCCTCCCATCGCCACCGTTGATTTCTCGTCAAAGATATCCGACGGCTTCATCCCACCGTCCATTCTCCCTTTCAACAAACCCCCACTGTTCCCAGCGCTAGTGACGCTCCCGGAATCCACTAGCAGACGAACGATGCCGTCCAGCAGCCGGGCGTGCAACCCATTTTCACCATAAGCAGCTGCCACCCGTTTGAACGCCGCGGATCTAATCAGCACTACGCGCCGCGCGGGGAGAAGAATCTCATGGTGGCTGGGGGGTGGGAAGGAGGAGGAGGAGGAGGTTTGGCCGAGCAGCAGCAGGAGATTATGCGTCTTCCGCACGAAATGCGCGATATTACCCTCTGAGTCGTCTAAAAACAGAAATGCGGAAGTTCCGTCCTGCCACGTGTCGTCTTCCTGTTCGCCGTCACCCTTCCCCCTCCCCCTGCGCCGTTTCTTCCGCCTGGCTCTCCCCCGCTCGGTGCGCAGCTGCATGTTGTCCTTCGTTATAAGCCGCAGCGCGGCCTTGTACGATCTACCGCGTCCGTCCATGCAGCCAATAGGAACGAGAGGATCAACGGCTCCGCTCGTATGGTCCCTGAGGAGCGAATCTGGGCCGTCCGCTGGCTGCCGACACGGCGCATGGCTGACGCCGGTGAACGCGGCGCCGTTAAAACAGACGGACCGGCAGGAGCAGAGGACCTGGCCGGCCTGGCAGCAGAACTCGTTTCGCACATGGTAGCACGTGCAGCCGTCAACATAATCGGCGGAATTGTCGGCGGCAGAAGCGGCGCCGGCACCGCAGCCGCCGGGGACGGAGAAGCAGGCGAAGGCTGCAAGAAGGGTGAATAGGCGGAGGCCGAGCTTTGAGAGAGGCTGCATCGAGGAGATGTGACTGTAGAGAGTGCGCATGACACGGTGGGTGGGGTCGAACGGGGAGAGGCGATGTCTCTCTCGTGTGCAAGGGGACAATTCGAAACCGCTATACACATGGTTTTGTAACACCATAAGAATAACACGGCACAATACCCTTGAAACAGAAAACAAAGCGCAATCAAACATCAAAGTAGCACATATTCGGAATATAAAGAGGCTCTTCCTATGTTAGCTGAGATGTCGGTCTCCTTAACGTTGTATGCGACTTGATACGTCGCATCAAAGCACCAATCTGCGAGCGTGTCCCGACAACCGACCCTGGCCCAACCGCAGAGCGAATGCTCAATGAAGACCGCACACTCAACGACGACCCTACACTCGTGGAGGATCGTGCTCCAGGCGAGGGCAGTGCGTCCGCAAACGCCCACATATCGCCCCCCGATATATCCGCTTCACCACTGGGCGCAGCACTCCCGTCCCACCCGTCTCCCCTCTCATCACCATCATCGACACAGCTCAGTCCATGCCCATAGCCCATATCTGTACGATAAGAGGTGCTGGGAGGGTGGCTGGGTGCGCATTCCCTTCCAAAATGCGGTGGATATCCTCCATATAAGCCTCCCCAGTAAACGAGCTCTCCACTGAGAGACGCCGGCCTCATGGACGGTGGTAGGCCTCGCCACCCTCCCACTGGCCCACCCTCATCCTCCATATAAGGCGCATCGGAATCCGCTGTAAGGCCTGAGAAGATGGGGCCGCTTCTAGTTGCTGCAATCAGCGCTGAGATACTGTCAGTGGGGCGCAACACAGGCCTGCTCAGCCCTACACCACGGCCACCATAACCACCACAGCCACCTATGCCTGTTCCCTGAGATGCAGCGGTAGCCACAGCAGCAGCGGCAGCAGCAGCAGCAGCAGCATGAGTGCCGTTAGCACCAAGCGAGCAAGAGGATGCGAGGCCACTTGTAGCGCCGACAGAGCTGCCAGCCGCAGTGGCAGTGGCAGCAGCAGCGCCAGGAGGAGGGGGGCGAGGTGCGGTGGCTCGTGACGTGCTCTGATGCCTAGAGAAGCCACCAGCAGCCGCGGTCAGCGAGTGGGGGGACGGCAGGGAGCGGGTAGAGCGAACCGAGAGAGGCGGGTCGAGGTAGTCGGGGTAGTCTTGATAGTCATGGCAGGTGTGATCAGCAACAGCGGTGTCCTCGGGATCATCAGGACCCGTGGGGATGGAGGATGCCGGTGAGAAGAGGCCGAGTGGTGGGATGCTGAGCTGGCGGAACGACAAGGACGATGACGTGGTAGTGGTGAGCTGGCCAGAGGCGGAGGAGGAGGAGCAGGTGGAGGTGAGGCGATCCTGTGTTGCTGCACCGCCACGAGCCCCATTCCGCTGGAGGGTCCGCCCAGTAAAGGACAGAGCACGCCGTACCCCCTCCTGCTCCTCCTCCTCCTCACCGTCCTCCTCTGGCCTTCCTTCCATACATCTCCTTCCCTCTCCTCCACTGCCATCCATGCCACCATTCCGGCAAGCTCGCCCATTGCAACCTGTGACAGGGATGACAGCATCCCCCGTTCCCCCTCCATCCGACTGCTCCGCAGCTGAAACATTCTGTACCACACTCTCGTCTGCTACTCTTACCGAGGCAGACTCTAGCGAGCCAAAAGACCCCACGGACCCCATGCCTCCCATGCCTCCCATGCCTCCCAAGCCCATGTCAATGTCTCGGCCCTCCAGTCTCCCACTGCTCACGTTGCTGCCACTGCCTCTGTTGCCGCTGCCACTGACTCTGTTGCCGCTGCTGCTCCCACTGCCAGCACTGTGGCTGTGCATTGCCACAGCAGCGCCCCCACGTGATGCCCCCATACTGTCACCGTTCTCCTCCTTCACTCCCTCGTTACAGTACCCGTGTGCAAAAGCGAAATCCCTGAGTCTGCTTATAGCGAGGTCCAGATTACCAGACCGTAAGCTGCTCTCTTTGATGCGGCCCCATACGCCAATCTCCCCACTCCAGCTCGTCACCTCTGCCCTATTCCTCCTCCCACTCCTGCTACTGCTACTACTCGGGCAGTTACCCTTGTAACAGTTACCACACAGGCCTTCGCAAGCCTTCCTGCTTCCCAGCTGCCCCATCCCACGGCGCGTCACCCTTCCTTCGACCGCTTCTCCCCCATGTCCCTCTCTTCCGCCCCCCTCTGTCATCCTAGCAGTCTGATTCCCCTTCGCATGTAACTTGCCCTTCGCCTCCTTTGCCTCCTTTGCCTCTCTTGTCTTCGTCATTGGCTCGCCTGCCTGTCGTTCCGCCCTGCCCCCACTGGTGCTTCTCCGGAGGGGGGTGAGGGCGAGCAGGGAGCAGGGGCTGGTGGGCAGGGATGGCAGGCAAGAGGACGGGCAGCCAAAGGGGGGGCTTGAGCCACCCTGCTGTTCCTTCTCCCCTCGCTGCTTCTCCCCTCGCTGCTTCTCCCCTTGTGACGCCTGCTGCTGCTTCTTCTCCTCCCGCACCTCCTCTTCCTCCTCCTCCTCCTCCTCCTCCTCCTCCAAGCGTCGATCGTGTGGCTGCTCCCTGTGTCTCCCCTCCTTATCCCGCCTCGGCTCTTGACCCGTTTGCCGCCCCTGTCGCTGCTGCGCCTCATACTCTTGCTCCCCCTGTCGCTGCTGCTCCTCACCCTGCTGCTTCTGCTGCTGCTGCTCCCACGGCTGATCCTCCCCCTGCTGGGGTTGCCGGCAATGCGTCGAACGCGTAGATCTTGGAGAGATGAGACTCAGGACACCCCTAGGGCTCGGCAGACTAAGTGCACCCATAGGGCTCGGCAGGGGCAAGTCTGCAGCCTTATAGGAGCGAGGAGACGTGATGGGGAGTGAAGCAGCTTTGGAGACGGACCTGAAGACGGACGCAGCGGCCGAGGCAGCAGCGGAGGCAGCGGAGGGGGAGAAGAGCGCCGGCGGGCGTAAGGGGAGAGCAGCTGGGGAGGGCGGCAGATGAGTGAGGTCCATTGCGGTGATGTCCACGTTGGCGTGGGACAGCTGCCGACACCGCGCTTCCACCTCTGCATGGGGGAGAGGGCGGGGAGGAGAAGGAAGGGCAGAGACGGAAGGGGGTAGGTAGGGGGGGAAGTGTGAGGCGAAGGAGAGGAAGGGAGACAAGGCGGCAGGTGAGTGAGGTCCATTGCGGTGATGTCCACGTTGGCGTGGGACAGCTGCCGGCACCGCGCTTCCACCTCTGTGGAAGAGGATTGGCGAGAGGGTGAACAACCGTGCACTCATTAGTTGATTGAGGCGGGGGCGTTTCCCGAGCATGGCGTTTCACGTGGTTCTGCCGCACATCGATAGGCTGCTCGTGTGATCAGGGTATTTGTGAGAATTCTCAAAAACACCCTGCACACTCATGCATAGGCTGCTCGTGTGATCCCAGGCAGCTCATGCCCTTTCTCGCTTGTTTCAGCCCCTAGAGTCTGCCGGGCGTCTAAACCCTTCAACCCTTCAACTGCGTTGCAGCTGTATGCGTTCAGGCGACACCAGGTCAACCCGTCCTGCCTCCCACTTCCCGCCCTGCCATCCAGCCCCCAGCGCGCGGCTTCCATTCGACTGATCCAGCCCCGAAGTTCCGGACTCCGGAGGAGGACCTGACCCCTTCCCCTGTGCCCAGTTTTGAGGCGCCTCAAAACTAGACTCCTATCACGCAGTTCCGGGCTCCGGAGGAGGACCTGACCCCTTCCCCTCTGCCCCCATCCTTGTCCCCTCTGCCGCCATCCTTGTCCCCTCTGCCGCCATCCTTGTCCCCTCTGCCGCCTACCTTCCCAGCTGCTCGTCGCGATGCTGCTTCGCAGCGCCGACACCGTGTCCACCTCCAACTCCCTGCGCGCCCACTCCCGCGCGTTTCCCCCCCGCCTGCCCCTCTGCTCCGCCGCGTTTCCGCTCCTTCCCCTGGACTCCGCAGCGTTTCCGTTCCCCCCTCTGAAATCCGCCGCATTCCGCCATCCGCTCGCCCTCGCGCGGCGGTCTTCCGCGCAAGTCCACGTCTGGTGCCGCTGCAGCCGCCGGCGGGGATCCACGTGGGCTCTACTCTCCCCGTAAGTTCGACATTCCGCGGATTTCCCCGGCGGGTAAACGGCGCACGGGATGCGATGATCCCCGCGTGTCCTCTCCCCAGGCGCTCCGGCGGGAGCCCCTATCAGTTCCCCCCCGCGGGGACTTGGGTGGTCTGTGCGGGTACTGCGCAGTTGGTGATGTTGCGCGAGAGACTCCGCCACTGCGGCTTCCGCTCCCGCTTTCCCCGCCAGGAACCGCTGGGCCATCAGCTCCTCCACCGTCATCGGCGGAGGTAGCGCGCGCGCTTGTTGCGCGTGCTGCTGCGGCTGCGAACGCGCCTGCTGTTGCGCGCGCGGGTGGAGTTGTGGGCGCGGGTGGACGCCTTGCGGGTATGCCGGGGGCCACATCGGGAGAACGTGCGCCGCTGCGCCAGCTCCACCTGCGCCGTCGCCGCGCGGAGTTTCCAACTGCGTAAGCGGGCCGGATGAGAATGCGCGGGAGCTGTGCCACGTGGGGGGAGGAAGACGCGGGCTGACGAGCGCGGAGAGATTCCAAGGAAGCGGGGGCGCACAGGAGCCGGTCAAATGACTGCTGCTGCCGCTGCCGCTGCTACTCAGGCCAAAAGCCGGAGTTTCACGAAGAGGTGGAAACTCGGGACCGGCTGCGGAATCTCGAAGAACTGGTAACACGCGATGGACAGGCGATTCGCGAAAAGCTGGCGATTTTCGCTGGGTGGTGGAAGAATCGGCGAATCGGTACGGCGGGCAGCCATGGGATGACGCGGATCCTGTGAGAACGCGACTCTTGTCGGAAGTGGGCTCGTCCCATCCGCACGGCTGGGGGACGGCGAGCGGAGGGATGCTTCCGACATGATTGCGCCGCCTCTCCGCGAGAGAGTTCGCCGTCACGCTTCGCTGGACTGCCATGGGAGTGGGAGAACCCGATACCGTCGCACGACTACTAGGGGAGGACGATCTGACGGCGAAGAATTTGTGACGTCAGGATCTACAGTCTGCTGGGTTGCGCGCTACCGATCCAGCATTTCCCTAGGTGAGCCAGGGCTACGGGGGGTCTTGCAATAAGCGTTTCTGAGCAACGAGCACGCTTTCTTATGATGATTAACGGCGAATCTACCGTGAGGAAACGGGAAATCGAGGACGACTCGTGCAACGTGGGTGTGGTTAAGACAGGAGAGCAATATCCCAGGGCGAAGAAGATGTCCTGTTGGGGGGAGAAAACACGGCTCAACCTATGACGATGTCCTGTATGGGAAGGCTTCGCCAATTGTATCCAATGACGTGCCTATCTGTTGCTTCTGATGTTTCCAGGGGAGCTGGCCTGGGAGGGAGTGGAGTTTGGTCCTGTTCAACAGAGACGGTCGAGCAAGGCTCGGAGACAAGGTCTTCTTTGCTCATGCCTCTGGCGAAGCGAGGAGGACCCTTATTGATCATTTCCCAGGAAAGATGGGAGGAGAGAGGAGAGGAGGGAGGGAAAGAGAAGGAAGGACTGCCGATTGAAATGTCAGTCGCACGAGACGAGCCACTGCTGTCGAATGGTTGCACACTTGACCAGGCATTTCGCCTCAGTCAGTCGTTCATGCTCGCACCTCATTGTCAAGTCGCACACACGCCAACCACGAACTGTGGAGCTTCAGCCACGACGACATTCGCCAACTGACGATTCGATTGTGCGATGCACTGCAAGGCGCGGCTCGACATCGAAATTCACCGACTTGACGTTTGTTCGCCTCAATGTTTGTCCGCGGTGTGTGGGATCTCGGAACAATTCCCAAATGTTCTTGTTCAAGATTCGGGAAAAGAAATCCAGCTGCATTGCAATCTCAGGGTAATCTGGAGCGAGAAGACCCGAGAGTTCAGCGAGAAGACCCAAGCCTGGAAAAAATTGCCTTGGTTCGCGAGAGGAAACTGACGGTGCCTGCCAGGTGGCCGACTATTCCAACAGCCCAAACTTCGTGCGGATGATCGCCTGCCAATGTAGGACCAATAAAACTCAACTGTGGCAAGCCCGCGTGCTTTCAGTTCAGTCGCATTTCGCTCTTGCGACAAATTATTGCTGTTTCGCTGCTACGCCGTCAGGTTCACTAAACCCGCAATTAGGTTGTGACAACCCGCGGCTCTTTCGGCCCCTGGGTCGACCTCGGGTCTGACACTCGCTCCGTAATCGCCCTCAAGGAAACGGAGAAGGCATGCATTTTCTGATGTGGAGGGCGCCAGGGGGACGATAAGGGCAGGCTGGATGAAACTGGAACGGAGACGAGAGAAAAAAAACAGCCAAACCAATCAGCGACCGCGACGTGACATTCAATAGTGTTTACAATGCTACTGCATGACTCCATGGGAACAAGGAAGGACACGCGGGGTTCACGCACACACTTGCATTTGAACGGGAAAGTTTTTGGCGGCAAAAATGGAATTGATTTGAGGAGTACACTCAGGAGTGAGGTGCTTCTAGAAACAGCAATTTGTTGTGGACACCTGTAAAATTGGTGCACTGTAATAATACAGTTTTCATATAGCAATGTATAGGTGGACTGTACAAAGGAAGTTGTGAGGTGGTATGCTCGTATCGAGTTTCACTCTGTTGCCACAATCGACAAGGCCGTATTATTAGGACCCAAGGGGCCCATCAATTAGCCAGGCGAGGCGTTGGGCAACCTCAGAGGAACAGGGCACATTCCGCGCGAGCTTCCCGATTCATCCAACTCTAGAAGGCGCATCAGGAGACGTATTAGGAGGCGTTTGAGGAGGCATATTAGGAGTCTGAATCAACTTGTCAACACGTCACCATCCCGCGGGTCCCGCGACTGATGCGCCCATGACGTCGTCCGCCGCGCCCCGCCCGGGAGTGGGCGCGCGGGCGCTGTCGGGGAGCGCCAATGTGGCGCTAGCTCTCACCGCAGCAGGCGCCACAATCAACGGCGGAATCTCCGCGGTGGTTGGCGCTGGCGGGCGCGGGGGTGGACCCGCGGGGTCGGGAGCATCTGGGGGGGCGGGAGGGCAGGCGCCAAGTCCGAAGGGGACCTCCCGCGGTGCCTCCAGTCCGCGCGCGCCTGGCGGAATCTTCCCCCGACATGCGGTGGGGAGGAGGAATGGGGAGTGGGGAAAGGACCGGGGAGTGGGGAAAGGACCGGGGAGTGGGGAAAGGACCGGGGGAAGAAAGGGGAAGAGGAGGGGGGAGGGCTCCGCCAGGCAGGAATTCAGCTACTCTGCCTCGTGCTTTCTCTCTCTCTCTCTCTCTCTCTCTCTCTCTCTCTCTCTCTCTCTCTCTCTCTCTCTCTCTCTCTCTCTCTCTCTCTCTCTCTCTCTCTCTCTCTCTCAAGCGGTCCTTTGTATTGCTGAATCCTGTGTACAAGCTAGGCAACAGGACGGGGTACAGGTACGTGAAAAAGCCGACCTAGGGGGATCTTGGGCCTACTCGAGCCCCTCGTGGGGTTCGAGGATGGCGAAACAGTCCCCGAGGGACATGTCTGCCTCTGGGTCGCCGAGGGAAGGCCGCTCCGCCGGCGAAGCTTCGTTGACCTTCCCGAGGTAAGAGACGGCCTGCCCCCGTTGGAGCGTGATGGACCAGCGCTGGCGGAACTGGCTAAGCAGTTTCCCTGCGAATACAGCTACTCTGCCTCATGCTGCCCTTGTTATCCCCTCTGACCCCCCATTTTCCGTACCCTTCCATCCAATCCAACCAACCCCCCTTTTTTCCCACGGCTCTTTTCCCCACGGCTCTTTTCCCCCACACAGGCAGTCAACTACCTGTGCCTCATGCTGCCCTTCCTCGCGCTTTCCACTCTGCAGGTAGGTAGATAGTACTCCTGAAATGGCATGGTAGTACTCCTGAGTCTTTGACCCCCATGCCCACCCTGTTCCAAGGAAGTCCCTTCACGCATCTTGTCTTGTCTTGGCTTGCCGCACAAGATGCGTGTCGGCCTCCCCTCTCCTCCCCTCTCCCCCCCTCCCCTTTCCTCTCCTCCCCTCTCCTCCCCTCTTCTCCCTTCTCCTCCCCTCACCTCCCCTCTCCTCCCCTCTTCTCACGATCAGCACGCAAGTGGATACAAGGGCGTGCCGCTAGCATGTGGGCATGTCGTTCTGAGAAGCGGCAAAATAGAGCTCGCCCTCTCGCCCCGTTCTGTCCCTAATCTTCCACCCCAACCCCCATCCAGCTGTACCTGATGTGGTTACCGGAGCTGGGTCCCATGCGGTTACCAGAGGATGACTTTGTGGGCAGCAAAGGGAAGAAGGTGAGGCTAGGTGACTGCGAGACTGACTGGGTGGCAGGAAGAAATTCAGGTGGCATGTGCAGTGTCAGTTGCCATCTGGAGTGTCAGGTGCCATCAGGTGCTTTCAGCAGTGCAAGGTATGATCAGAGGAATCAGATGCTACGCTTACAGTGCACTGTTGAGCTTTAAAGCGCTGCAAGCAAAGCTCATCTCAGCCTCTCTGCCACGGAATTGATGGTGCATCAACGCAAGGAGCAGTCAACCCTGCCACGGAATCGATGGTGCATCAACGCAAGGAGCAGTCAACCCTGCCACGGAATCGATGGTGCATCAACGCAAGGAGCAGTCAACCCAGCCACGGAATCGATGGTGCATCAACATTCTGAAGGGTTGACTGCTCCTTGCGTTGGTCTGCCTGTCGTGTGTGCATGTGTGCATGCGTGCATGCCTGCATGTGTGCATGTGCACATGCGTGCACGTGTGCACGTGTGCATGTGTGCACGCGTGCATGTTTGCATGTCTGCATGTGTGCATGTGCACATGTGCGCATGTGTGCATGTGTGCATGTGTGCATGTCTGCATGTCTGCATGTCTGGATGTGTGCATGTGTGCTGCGCATGTGTGCATGTGTGCATGTGTGCCTGTGTGCATATGTGCATATGTGCATGTGTGCATGTGTGCATGTGTGCATGTGTGCATGTGTGCCTGTGTGCATGTGTGCATGTGTGCATGTGTGCATGTGTGCATATGTGCATGTGTGCATGTGTGCATGTGTGCATGTGTGCATGTGTGCATGTGTGCATTTGTGCATGTGTGCATGTGTGCATGTGCGGGGTGCATCTCATCTGACCAACAGAGCAGCAGGGAGCATCGGTTCAACTACCGCACACTGCTCGCACACACTGCCAGCGATGTGCTCTCGCTCCACAGTGAGTGCTGCCACCCTCCCTCCTTTTCTGCACCACAGCACACGGCACAGGGAGTTGTTGCACTGTGCATGGCATCCAGATTTCATGCGTGCACCCAGTGCATGCACTTGCAGTGTGGGCGCTCTTCTTTTTCGTGCTGTTCTTCGTCTTCTTTCTCTTTTTCTCAAAACTGCTCGAGCGCAAGCAGCAGGCGGGAGTTGAAGGGCGCGGAGGCAGAAGGCCTGGAGCGCATGGGTCTGGCGATGCTGCAGAGACGAAGCAGGAGTTGGTGCAACCACCATCCCCCACCCCCTCTCACCCAAATGCATTCTCCCATGACTGTGATGTGTCCACTCAGAACTTCTTGAGAGGAACCGTCATGAGTTGAAGGGCGAGGTGGCGGACGGCATGGAGCGGATGGGCCTGGAGATGCTGCAGACGAAGCAGGACAGCGCGCGGGCGGCTGCTGACGTGGCGGACTGGTGGCGGCACGAGCAGGGCAGGCTGAAGGCCATGAGCGAGGACATCGGGCAGCTGAAAAAAATCGTCGGGCAGCATGCAAGGAGCTTGGAGGCGCAAGTTCAAGCCGCGCAGGGGGTGAGCCCAGGAGAGGTTGAGTCCAGGAGGGGGTGAGTCCAGGAGGAGGTGAGTCCAGGAGGGGGTGAGTCCAGGAGAGGTTGAGAGTAGACCTGAAAAACGATAAACGAATCCGAATTCGAATGCCTAAACCGAATATTGTGCCGAATATTGACATGGCTCAAATTCGCCGAGTAATGCGCTCAAAAGCGAATGCGAATACGAATCGAGTACCGGGTTTGAGGGTCATATTCGAATCGTATTCGTATTCGTCCTATTCGTCGTAATCTGAATATTCGTCGTTTGAGGGTCCTACTCAAATGCGTTGACGCGAAGCTGACGGGGAAACAATTTACTTGCGTCGTGTCTTGGTTGGTGGCCTAGCCGTTCAAACCCACCCCCCCCCCCCCCCCCCCCCCCCCCCCCCTCCCTCTTCCCCCCTCAGAACGGAAGAGAACGGGGAGCGGCGAGGCTCGTTAGGTTATGCATGACCGCGCGACGAATATTATTCGTGAATAGACGAATATGGCGAATACGAATACGCGTTAACGAGTACGGGGGATCCGAGACCGCCGAATACTAAGGCCCCATTCGATTCGATTCGGATTCGAAATTCGAATATGAAAACGAATAAATATTCGGATTTCGAATAATCGTTTTCAGGTCTAGGTGAGAGTCGCAAATATAAGTCGTGTGGGTGAGCTTGTTGCTGGGAGTGTGAGAGGGGGTGGGTGGGACGGGGTTGGGAGGTGATGGCCCATGAAAACTCGGGCACGATTCCTGGCAGGAAACAACTTGTGAGTTTGAGAAGACTTCTGCGCCAACTCAAAGGTCAACTCAAAGGTCAACTCAAAGGTCAACTCAAAGGTCAACTCAAAGGTCAACTCAAAGGTCAACTCAAAGGTCAACGCAAAGGTCAACTCAAAGGTCAACTCAAAGGTCAACTCAAAGGTCAACTCAAAGGTCAACTCAAAGGTCAACTCAAAGGTCAACTCAAAGGTCAACTCAAAGGTCAACTCAAAGGTCAACTCAAAGGTCAACTCAAAGGTCAACTCAAAGGTCAACTCAAAGGTCAACTCAAAGGTCAACTCAAAGGTCAACTCAAAGGTCAACTCAAAGGTCAACTCAAAGGTCAACTCAAAGGTCAACTCAAAGGTCAACTCAAAGGTCAACTCAAAGGTCAACTCAAAGGTCAACTCAAAGGTCAACTCAAAGGTCAACTCAAAGGTCAACTCAAAGGTCAACTCAAAGGTCAACTCAAAGGTCAACTCAAAGGTCAACTCAAAGGTCAACTCAAAGGTCAACTCAAAGGTCAACTCAAAGGTCAACTCAAAGGTCAACTCAAAGGTCAACTCAAAGGTCAACTGCTGAGTTTGAGGAGTGAGGGCCTTCCTGTCTCCGTCTTCTCCTGTCAAGTTGAATCGCCTTCTCCCCTCCCCTTTCGACCCTTGTGCTCTCGTTCCTGCTACCATCCCTCTCCCTCTGGGGGAAACTCAGGCAGAAGTCGAATCCCCTTCTCCCACCCCCTTTCTGAGTTTGAGTTTTTCGCCTGCCCGTCTGCCCGACCCTTGTGCCCTTCTCTAGGGCGGGCAGGAGCAAGGAAGCGAAGGCGAGCTGGCATCATTACCGTGAGGGGGAAGGGATGGTCCCAGGGAGGCTGTGAATGACGAGGAGTGGCACGGCTGGAGCAGTGGCATCTGTCCAGGAGCATTCTCATGCCACTGCGGGGCTGGCACGGCCGGAGCAGTGGCATCCGTCCCACCAGGCCTTCCAGCTCTTCTGGATCTTCCCCCTGGAGGACAACGTCCCTCCTCTTATCTTCTCCTCTTCCCTCCTCTCATCTGCCCTCCCTTCCCTTCCAAGGACGCAGGGAGCATCAAGCAGTGGTGAGGAGCACCCTAGGGAGGAGCGGCCGACGGAGGGGGAGGACAATGAGGAGTTGGAGGAATCGGGGTTGGCACGGCCGGAGCAGTGGCACCCGTCCCACCAGGCCTTCCAGCTCTTTTGGATCACAGACGACCGCCCCACCTACTGGCAGCAGCGCACATTCCAGCGCTATGGATCATACGGATTCATCAAGTTCAGGTGAGGCTAGCGGGCGGCGAGTGGGGGTTTTGAGAATGTGGCGCCGCGGGTTATAGGTCAGGAGCAGTGGCGCCCGTCCCACCAGAGAGTTTTTTAGAATTCTCAAAAACACCCTGCAACATGTGAGAGGGGGCGGTGAGAGGGGGCTAGAGGGCGAGGTGAGAAGGGGCTAGAGGGGGAGGTGAGAGGGGGTTTTGAGAGGGGATTATATGTCAGGAGCAGTGGCGCCCGTCCCACCAACCCACCCACCACGCCCTGAAGCACTTATGGATCGCAGAGCAGACGACCGACCGCCCGGCGTTCTGGCCCACCTGCGAGCGGCACGGGTCGTATGGATTCATCAAGTTCAGGTCAGGTGAGGCTCGGGTGGCGATGGGAGGAGGCTCTGAGTGAGTTTTGAGGCTCTGAGTGAGTTTTGAGGCTCTGAGTGAGTTTTGAGGCGCCTCAAAAGTCGGCTCGCGTGGCGATGGGAGGAGGCTCTGAGTGAGTCGCCTGAGAGGCAGGGTCACAACCAGGGCCACCCGTCTCACCGGGCTGGTTGATTTATTGAAAGCATTTCTGGCTGGCTGGCAGACGATCCTCCTGGCGTACTGGAGGCAGCGTGTGGACCTGTCAGCACCATGGGTCGTATGGCTTCATCAAGTTCTTGCGGGTGTGGGGGGTGGGGGGGGAAGAGGGGAGGAGGACTATGAGAGGGGGGCACATTCAGTCGCCTCAGAAGCACAGGCCCGTGTCACGTCACATCACATGCGTGCGGCATAATACCACTTCGGGTTTGATGTCCACTCCTGCTGCTTCCGCTGCATTAACGTTGCTCCTTCCGCTGCTGCTTCCTGCACGCGTCTCCTTCTGCTTGCCATGGCCCCTTCCGCGCCCCCCCTCCTCCCGCCCCCTCCTCCTACCCCACCCCTTCCCTTCTCCTCCATGTTGTTTTCCCCCCAACTAGACTTCACCCCCCTCTCTCCCCCCCCCTCTCTCCCCCCCCCTCTCCCCCTCCTCTCTCCCTCCCTTCGTTTCCTTTCCCTTGCTGTTTCCAGCGCCTACCGCGTGAATGCCTCGACTATCGCGGTGCTGGGGCTGGCGTCCCTTCCCATGCACCAGGGCAGACGCTTCACCTCCTGCCGCTGGCACGCCAAACCCAATGCTGGGGGTGACAATGGCGGGAGTGACAACGGTGGGGTTGACAATGGCGGGGGTGACAATGGGAGTGGCAATGGTGGTGGGGACAGTAGTGGCGGAGTGACTGAGGGCAGGCTCGTCCCGCTCTATGTGGAGGAGCATCATGAGTACCTGGTAGGCTGGTAGCCCCCTATTGCATTCTTTCTCGCTGTCGGTCGATGATGGAATTCTACTTCTGAGGAGCATCATGGTTACCTGGTAACAATGCTTTCTCTTTTTTTAGACGTTTCAGATCCGCTCTATGTGGAGGAGCATCATGGCTAGCTGGTAACGTCCTGTATCCTCTCGTCCTCTCCTCTCTGTCTCCTCTCTCGTCTCCTCTCTCGCCTCCTCTCTCACCTCCTCTCTTCACCCCTCCTCTCTTCACCCGCACACTTGCATCAGCGCTCTCCTCGCTGGCAGCAAAAGGCCGCTCTTCTGCTCTGTGGACTCATTCCCCCCTGTACCTGCCCTCTCCCCCACCACCCGCGCATCAGTACGAGGCGGTGGTGCTGCTGTGTGCGCTGGTCGCCCCCTCACCCGCACCCAAGCGACTTCTGAGTCCATTACACTCAAACTCCCCCCTCTCCGCTTCCTCTCGTCCCCGCACCCCATCCCATCCTTTCCCCTCCACCCCTCCCCGCATCAGTACGAGGCGGTGGTGCTGCTGTGTGTGCTGGATGCCCCTTCGCCCCAATCCGGTGGATTCCTACAAGCGGAGGTGGATGGAGAGGTCTTCTACCCCTTCGTGGAGCCGCCAGGCCAGGTACGTGCTGTGTGTGCTTCATTGGCGCTGCTTCATTGGCGCTGCTGACTCGCTGTGCGTCATCCCTTCATCACAAATGATCATCACAATCTGGTGAGTTCCGTTCCTTCAAGCAGAGGTGGATTTGGAGGTCCTCTACCCCTTCGTGGAGCCGCCAGGCCAGGTACGCATTGCTGTTTGCTGCTACCTGCTCTGGCCTGCGGACTCTTTGTGCATCATGAATGATCACACCGGTGGGTTCTTGCAAGCAGAGGTGGATGGGGAGGTCTTCTACCCCTTCATGGAGCTGCCAGGCCAGGTACGCGCTTGCTTTTGAGTCGACTCAAAACCAGGGCAGGTACGCACTTGCGTGTCTGACGCCTACTCTAGAGAACCCCCCAAGTGTCAACAGTACATATCTACCGTTGCAGCGCCTGTCAAGGGCAGGTACAATTGCTGGTGGTCTTTCGCTTAAAAGGGGCTTCGAAACGTTGTTTAAGGACACTCCCCCCATGCCCGCTGTTTTCCGCGTTGCATGCCTGCCTGCCAGCCTCTGCCTGAAACGTCGCTGTCTGACTGAAACGTCAACTGCGCACTGTTTGCCTGCCAGCCACTGACTGAAACGTCACCTGCGCACTGTTTGCCTGCCAGCCACTGACTGAAACGTCACCTGCGCACTGTTTGCCTGCCAGCCACTGACTGAAACGTCACCTGCGCACTGTTTGCCTGCCAGCCACTGACTGAAACGTCACCTGCGCACTGTTTGCCTGCCAGCCACTGACTGAAACGCAGCTGTCTATCTGTCCCGTCTTGTTGCAGGTGATATCTCAGAATCTCTCAAGAATCACCATCGTCGCACGTCCATCAAGTCTCTTGAATCCACGTCCCATGACACGTCCCATGACACGTCCCATGACACGTCCCATGACACGTCCCATGACACGTCCCATGACACGTCCCATGACACGTCCCATGACACGTCCCATGACACGTCCCATGACACGTCCCATGACACGGCCCCCGTCCCCCGTCCCCCCGTTCCTTGCAGCCTCATTGTGTGCGGTCCGCCCATGGTCGGCGCCATCCACCCATTAGCCCTCTCCAAGCGGCTGCACTTCTTCCTTGTTCTGCTGCCTCCTCTCCTCCTCTCCCCTCCCCCTCCCGTCCCTTGTTCCCTTGTTAGCCTGTTCCCCTTTCCCCCTTTTCCCCCTGTTCCCCTTTTCCCCCTGTTCCCCTTTTCCCCCTGTTCCCCTTTTCCCCCTGTTCCCCATTTCCCCCTGTTCCCCATTTCCCCCTGTTCCCCATTTCCCCCTGTTCCCCTTTTCCCCCTGTTCCCCTTTTCCCCCTTTTCCCCATTTCCCCCTGTTCCCCTTTTCCCCCTGTTCCCCATTTCCCCCTGTTCCCCATTTCCCCCTGTTCCCCATTTCCCCCTGTTCCCCATTTCCCCCTGTTCCCCATTTCCCCCTGTTCCCCATTTCCCCCTGTTCCCCATTTCCCCCTGTTCCTCTTGTTCCCCTGGATCCTCGAACCCTCTCCAAGTGGCTGCATTTTCCACCGCGTACCGCTGCCTCCCCTCCCTCCCCTCCCCTCCCACATTTGTCTCCCCTACTCCCTTTGACGTTCAGCCCTTAGCAGAGGCCCCAAGCTTCCTCTGCAGCCTCACCATGTTCGGTCCGCCCATGTTCGGAGCCATCAACCCGCAGGCGCTAACCGTTGTCTGCACTTCTTCCCTCCCGCTCACCCCCACCTTTGAGTCGACTCAAAACCGCCCATGCTTTTGAGTCGACTCAAATAGTCCGCCCATGTTCGGAGCCACCAACCCGCAGGCTCTAACCAAGGGGCTGCACTTCCTCCCTCACTCCCACCCCTACCCCCTTCACTGTTCCACCACCAGCCCCTAGACGAGCCCTCGAACTTCCCCACCAACCTAGTCTTATGCGGCCCGCCCATGTTCGGAGCCATCAACCCGCGCGCCCTCACCGAGTGGCTGCACTTCCACCGCGTGCTGCTGCCGGTGGACCATTTTGTCCTGTACGACGCGGGCGGCGTGGCGAACCACGCTGACGTCAGCAGCGCACTGCAGCCGTGGGTGCAGGCGCGGGTGGTGGAGGTGACTGGGTTTCAGGAGGCGAAGCAGTACGACGTGTGGTCGTATGCTCAGGTGGGGCTTACCTATTTACTGCACCTAGTATAGTATGAGTGGGTATGGGATAGTGGCTCAAGTGCTCTTTGTTGAAGAGGCCATGTGGGTGCAGGCAGGCATGAGTGGTGGACGTGGCGGCTTTCCAGGAGGCGAAGCAGTACGATGTGTGGTCGTACACTCAGGTAGGGCGTGGAGATGAATGTGGGGTCGTATGCTATGCTCAGATGTGCGTATGTAATACGAATCGAAGCAAGGGCCCGTGCAGGTGCTGGTGGTGGTGATGGTGATGGTGGTGGTGATGGTGATGGTGATGATGTTCACCAGGCCAAGCATACGGCGTGTGGTCAAACGCCCCAGTATGACGCGTGGTATCAGGAGTTGACGCCTGGTTGGATGCACAGGTGAGGGTGTGTGGGCAGTGTGGCATAGCTAGCAACTAATGGGCCGTGTGTGGGTGCTCACTCAAGTATGGTTGGAATAAGTGTTATAGAGTGCTGCCCCGCGTCGAGTAGGTGTACATGCACACTGCCACGAGCCCGAATGGATGTTGCTGCCTTTTGACTTTACATGCCTGTTTACTGTCTTCTCTTCCATCCCCCGGGCTCTCTCCACCCACGACTGCGTGTACCGCCACTGCCACAAGGCCCAGGGGCTGCTGTTTGCTTTGCCATCTCCTGGCTTTTACATCCCCCCACCTCGTTTCCCCCCTTCCCCACTCCCCCCAGGCGCTATCCTCCCACGACTGCAAATACCGCCGCTGCCACATGGTCCAGTGGCTGTGCTTTGCAATTTGACGCACGTCCCACTCCCCCCCCTCCCCCCATACCCCTTCTCCCCCACCCATCCCCCAGGCGCTATCCTCCCACGACTGCATGTACCGCCACCGCCACGAGGCCCGGTGGCTGCTCTTTGCTGACCTGGACGAGTTCGTTGAGGTGCTGCCGCCCAACACGCTGCAGCAGCTGCTACAGGACAACGCCGGCCGCCCCTGGATCACGTTCGGGTGCACGGTGTTCAATAGCTCGTTCTGCCGCCCGCAGGAGCAGTGGAACGGGGGTACAACCAGAAGGAGGAGGTTGTTACTGGGGGAGGGGGGACTGAGAGAGGAATATCCAGAGCAGTGGAATGGGGGGACGGCCAGGAGGAGGAGGAGGTTGTTGCTGGGGAAGGGGGAGCTGAGAGAAACAGAAAAGCAACCGCACGAACGATGGAACGTGGGGGCGGCGAGGAGGAGGTTGTTGCTGGGGGAGGAGGAAAGGGACGAAGGGAGAGCTTCTCAGCCGTTCATCATCGAGGGAGTGAAGTACCAGTGGCCGCACCCCTACTGCATGAACGCCTCGCTTTTCCCCGACCACCTCTGCCTGGACCAGTTCGGGCACCGCAAGTACATCCTCAATCCCAGGCGGGTCTCCCTCGCACAGATCCACGTGATCATCGGGGGAGATTTGGACGGCCTGGATCTGCCGACGGACGTTGCGAGATTTGCGCATTACCGGGGGCTGACGACAAGGGCGTACCCCATGTGCGACCTGGGGCGCCCGAGCAAGTGGTGGCAGTACCATGATGGGTTGGCCAAGATGGCACAGGCTGCTCGGTCGTGCCCTGCTCTGGAGACGCTGCTTTCCAACACGGAGCGAGAGGTGAGGGTGGCAAATGGTAAGAGGCTGGAGGGGTGAGAGTGACAGAAAGTGAGGGCGCACCCCATGTGTGATTTTGGGATGGCCCAGTGAGTGGCGGCGGTACCGTGAGGGCTTCGCCGGGTTGCTCAGTCGTGCCGTGCTGTGGCTCCGGGCGACAAGACTGAAGGAGAGGTAAGAGACACAGAAATTGCCACACGAATTGGCACTCACGGCGAGGGCACACCCCATGTGTGATTTGGGCGCTGCCAGTGAGTGGTGGCAATACCATGAGGGTGTGGCCAAGATGGCGAGGGCGGCTCGGTCGTGCCCTGCTCTGGAAGCGCCGCTTTCCGACACGGAACGAGAGGTGAGAGTGGTGGGAAGTGGCAGTAGAGGTGAGAACGGGTGCTGGGCTGGCACCTGTTTGAGTTGAGTCGACTCATGTCCGTGTCGGGCATGGGGTCACTCATACCCCATGAGTGACCTGGGAAGGGGGGGTGACTACATGGTCCCACCATCATGATAGCATCGCCTAAAAAATACACTCGTTGGGCGTACGCCATGCGTGACCTGGGTTGGGTCGAACAGCTTGAATACTACTTCATGGTGGCAGCACCATGACAGCGTGAGCAAGAAGCAAGACGGCCCAGGTGGCTCGGTCCTGCCTATCAAACCTAGAATTTAATAATGAGAGAGAGAGAGTACACAAACATATACCTAAATGTTGTACTCTCTAGAAGGTGACCCTATACAGTCTATACAAACATGATAACTACACATGTTTGACACACCCCCTGGACTGCATAGGGGAATGTTCTAGACAAGCAGCTCAGGGTGGCACTACTAGTCCAGCCTCTGAGACAAGGGTCTAAAAGACCAGTCAGAAGGAGTACAGACAAGGCAAGAACGAGTACAGGGCGGCACTACTAGTCCAACCACTGTGAGAGGACACAAGTCCAGTCTGAGTGTATACATATATATATATACAACAGTACAAAGTCAAAGCCCGAGTAAGTGAGAGACTACAGGAACCAGACCAAGCTGTAAACAGTGCCGCTGATGATCTTTAGGCGCAAGCGCCTTCGTAAAGATATCAGCTGTGTTGGCACCGGAGGCCAAGTGTACTACGCGAGCCTGGCGACGCTGCTGTAGCTCGCGCAGGAGGAAGTACCGCAGCTGGATGTGCTTCGCTCTGCCCTCGAGTCGAGGCTCCTAACACAGGAGAATCATGGCCCTGTTGTCAGCGTACAGGACCGGGGCAGAGCTAGGCCGCTCACCTAAGTCAGTGAGCAAGAAGGTCAGCCAGCGGAGCTCCTGTGCCGCCATGGCACCGGCGTAGATCTCAGCCTCACAGCTGGACTGGGCAACAGACGAGGAGCGGGTAGCTCTCCACGAGACAGCACCTGAGCCAAGGCTAAAGTAGTAGCCCTGGGAAGACCTGAGCGTCTCGGCGTCGTCTGCCCAAGAAGCGTCTGTGTGTCCAGTAAGGACCACTGGCCTGCGTCCGCCTAGCACTAACCCCATGCCCGATGTACTTGCAAGATAACGCAAAACCCTCTTAGCGGCAGACCAGTGCTGAGGTCGGTGTCTGCCTGTGGCCACAAAACGAGCCAGGATGCTGAGAGGGTATGCGAGATCTGGGCGAGTGCAAGTCATCAGGTACATGAGGCAACCCACTAGCTCAGCGTAAGGACCACTGGGATCTACCGACTCCTCAGGAACTGGAGCGGAGAGTCTGTGGTCCAGAGGAAGAGGGGTGGGCTGTGCGGAGGAGAACTGAAGGCCGAACCTCTGAAGGACCTGGCGCACCAAGTGTGACTGAGTCAGGGTGATGGTGCGCGCGGCTCTGTCCCTGGAGATCTGCAAGCCAAGGTAACGGCGCAGCTCTCCAAGGTCAGTGCAGGTGTGTCTCTTCAGCAGCTCTGCCTTCACGGAGGCCAGTGCGTCCCTGTCAGCTGTGGCAAAGACCAGGTCGTCTACGTAGACGAGGATGTAGAACGGAGTCGAGCCAGCACGAACGAAGAGCGAGGGGTCTGCAGAGGACGGAAAGAACTGCAGGTCAGCAAGAGTAGCACGCAGCGTGTCGTGCCACTCACGAGGCGCCTGGCGCAGGCCGTAGACTGGGCGCCGCAGAAGCCACTGGGTCCCAGGGGGGAAGGTGCCAGTAAAGCCCTGAGGACGACGCAGGTAGACCTGCTCGTGAAGGCTGCCCTGAAGAAAGGCAGTGGAGAAGTCGAGGGAGTGAAGCTCGTAGTCACGCTGGGCCGCTACGTGTAGCAGAACCCGAAGAGTAGTCATCTTCGGGGTAGGAGCGAAAGTCTGAAAGAAGTCCACCCCCTCGCGCTGACTGAAGCCTCTAGCCACGTAACGCGCCTTGAACACAGGCGGCTCTCCAGGAGGGCGCTTCACCTTGAAGAGCCAACGGCCATCGACCACGTTCACCCCAGGTGGGGGAACTGCGTCGACGAAGGTGCCGGTGGATCTCCAAGATGCCATCTCCTGCTCCATGGCAGCTATCCACTGAGAGGCCCAAGGTCCCGAAACCGCCTCAGCGTAAGTACGAGGGGTCGGGATGTCAAAAGCGTCTGGGTCACCCTTAGGGACTAGCAGCATGGAACAGAGATGGGGAGCAGCCTCGGACAGGAAAGCAAGCTCAAACTGGCGGTCCTCCAGGACGTCACTGCCGAGGGCAGGAGCACCCTCGACAGACGGAGGACAGGCAGGGTCAGAGACCAGAGCGGAGGCGTAGTCAAGGCGGCGGGTAGAGGCGAAGTCAGCGACCGCAGCGACAAGGGCGTCAAGACTCGACACGGGAACTGACGGGTCGGTAACAAGAGAGGCAAGGACCCGAGGAACAAGAGGACGAGCGGCACGAAAGTAGTCAGACAGAGGAGGAGACGCAACGACAAGAGAGGACGGAGGAGGAGACGGGAGGAGGGGAGGACGAGACGCGTGGGAGCGGAGCAACATAGGGTGAGTGCGCGGGACGGGGGAGACAGGACGAGCACGGGAGGGGCGGCGAGACCAAACGTGAGAGGGCGGCGTCGGGTCAGGAGACAGAGGAGGGGACACGGGTGGGGAACGAGGGGGAAAACGAGCCGGGGACGAGTCCGGCGGAGGGAACACGGGGCCGTAGACGGGAAGAGGGGGAGACGGCCGGAGAGGAACAGGCGCAGGGTCAGGGGACGGAAGGCCGAGCAGACGGAGGGCGGACACCGGCGGGGACTGCTGCTGCGGCGACACAACACCAACGCCAGGGCCACAAGCTGCGCGACGGCTACCTCCCGAACCCTCCACACCGGCACCCCCAGAAGGGACACCCCCAGAGCCCGAAACACCGCCAGCACCGGTACCACCCCCAGGCCCGCCGGGACAAGCCCCGACAGGAGCCCCGGGACTAGTACCCACCTCAACGCCAGCACCCCCAGAGTCCACAAACAGCGGCAGCGACGACGGCGGCGGCGGCGGCGGCGGCGGCTGCAGCGACGGCCTCGACGGCGGCGGCGGCGGAGACGACGGCTGCAGCAGCTGCGGCGACGGCGGCTGCGGAGGCGGTGGAGGAGGAGACATCGGGGGAGGGACAGACGGCGAGGACTGCGCCAAAGGACTACCAGAGTCAGAAGACTCGTCGACCGGAACGACCGACGGGAGGGGGGTGACGTGAGACACACCAGAGGGGGCCGGACGGGGGGGCGGGGGGGGGGGAGGGGCAGGGGCCACCAGGGATGGAGGAACCAGGAACAGGGGGGGAGTAACCGGGGGACCACGGTGGGGAAAGCGGCGGTAGAAGGAGACGGACTCGTCAAAGGTGACGTCGCGAGAGTGAAAGAAACGGTGAGACGGCGGGTGGTAGAAGTGCCAGTCGGACGCGTCAAGGGGGAAACCGAGGAAGACGCAGGGGAGGGTGCGGGCAGTGAGCTTGTCCGTGCCAGAGGCACGAACGTGAGCAAGGCAGCCCCAGACGTGGAACGCAGACGCGTCACCAGGGGACCCGGCCCACAGAAGGGTCGGCGAAACCTGCGGCCGCTGGGGGTGCGGCCACAGGTTAAGCTGGTGAGCGGCGTAGCGCACGGCGAACGGCCACAGAAAATGGGGTGCACCGGCGTGGATCATGGAGGTGCGAGCCACCTCCATGACCAAACCGATGCGTCGCTCAGCGACCCCATTCTGCTGCGGGGAGTCCGGCAGGGTAAACGTCTGGGTGATGCCCTCCGCACGACAGAAGCGACCAAGGACACCTGAGGCGAACTCGCCACCCCGGTCGGAGTGGAGGCGCAAGGCAGGGAGACCGCGGTGGAGACGAGCAGAGACAAGCCAGGGGATGAGAACGTCAGGCACGTCGGCCTTCCGCTCCAGGGGAAAGACGGTGGTGTAACGTGTGAAGTCGTCGACAAGCACTAGGAAGAAGCGCTCGCGACGCGGCCCATGGACCGGGGCTGGGCCCCAGACGTCCATGTGCAGAGTCTGCAGTGGTGCGGTGGTAGGGGGAAAAGAGGAGGAGTGAGTGAGGGCGGAGCCGGCCCTCGACACAAGGCGTGCACGGTGGGGCGGGGGATGAGGGAAACTCAGGGAACGAACCGGGGAGACCAAGGACGAGACCGTGCTGGGACATGTGACGCAGACGCGGGAGTGCAGGGTGACCAAGGCGGTGGTGCCAAAGGAGAGTCGGATGAGTGAGGGACCGACAGGAGCACGCAGCAGCAACCTGGGTGGACGCAGCTACCTGGGGGGAAGACCCAGCCGGGGACGTCGCGGTGTCAAGTGTGAACAGGCCGGACACCGGGTCCTGGGGGAAAGTGGTAAGGGGGGCACCAGTGGCGGCCTCGGTACAGACAGCATACCGCTCGTGACCAGGGAACGTAGTGGTGACGCCAAGGTCCTGGAGGCAGCCGACACCAACTAGGTTCCTGGAGAACGAGGGGATATGCAGACCGGTGAGCGAACCTGAAGGAACCGCCGGACAGGGAAGGGAGGTGGAACTGCGGGCAACGACGGGACCACCGGAGGGGTCAGCAAGAGTAACTGCAGCGGGAACAGGCAGCGGCGTCAGCGTCGTGGAGTCGCGGAAGAAACACCGGGAGGCGCCAGAGTCCAAGGTGAAGGAAAGCGCAGCAGTCGCGCGGGGCGACAGTGAAGCGGTGGAAGCACCGAGGCTAAGCAAAGCAGGAGATCCTACGCCTGACGCAGCAGGGGAGTCTACGCTAGGCACAGCTACACTAGGCAACACGGGGTAATAAGAGGGAAGCACACTAGAGTCATCGGCATACATCACATGCAAGGCTGCTACAATGGCATCCATGTCCAAGTCAAAAATCCGAATGCTACGCCTAAGCAAGCTGTGCCAGTCCGGGAGGTCGGGCGCCGGGCCAAAGCGCTGGCGGAACAGGTCGTCCAGACGACGAAAACAGCGAGGAGTGGAATGACCGATCTTACCGCAAACGAAGTCGCGGCGAGGACCGGTCTGGATCTGGTACTGACAGGGCCCGCCTCCAGAACCACCACCCGGTGCACCACCACGCGCACGACCACCACCAGCTCCAGGCCACCCAGGCGGGAGAGCACTCGCCGGCCTCGTCTGCGGCGGCTGCTGCGGAGGCTGCTGCTGCTGCGGCTGCTGCAACGGTGGAGGCAGCGGGGCAGCTGGACCGGGCAGGGTCCCCACGTCCGCACCGGCACCGGACGACCCGCCTCCACCACTACCCCCACCCGCACCCCCGCCACCGCCGCCGCTCCCAACCTTGGGGCGGCGGCCCTTCCCCGAGCGGGACTGCACTGCAGCAGCAGTCTCAGCCACAGCGACAGAGCCGTCGGAGAAGGTACACTGAGCGGGGGCACAACCCTGAAAGATAGGGTCCGGTACTGTACCGCTCGCCTGGGCTATGGAGCGGTAACGAGTCTCTATGGCAGTCAGGGTGTCAACAAAGTCGGTGAGGGTGAGAGCAGCAGGGTGGATGCTAAGGAACTGGTCGCGGGCGGCGGCAAGGCGGTCAGGGAGGCGGGTGGCAAGGAGGTAGAGGGTAGAGGTCATGGGAGGCTGGTGGACTCTAAGCTGTGCATCAGTGCAGGCAGCGCGCCAGGCCTCATCTATCGAGCGCAGGTGGGCAGCGAGGTCAGAGACAGTGGGGAAGGACGCCAGGTCAGGAAAGAGCAGGGGGAGGATCAGGCGACCCACTGAGGCAGCAGGAGGGGTAGAATAGCGCTTGATGACAGCATCGAGGTAGGCCTGGGCGGTAGAAATGGTTCTAAAGCGAGGGCGCTCAAGGGGGGGGGGGGCATTGCTAATGGCGAGCTGAGCAAGGGCATCGCGGGAAAGCCAGACAGAGCGGGCAAGGGCAGCGGCGGCAGTGGACTCGCGCTCAGCGGGCGTGGGATCAGCGGGCAGCACAGCAGGGGGGTCAGGGCAGGGGAGCATACCGTCTAGGTGTGCAGAAAGCGGGTGGCCGTCCTGCCGCTGACCAGTGAGGTGGCGGCGAAGGTCAGCCAACCACGCCTCGAACTCCAGAGGCTGACCCTCAGCATCAAAACGAAGCTCAGCAGCCATGAGGGGCAGTGGAGGACAGTGGAGTGCGGCGTAGTGCTGTGCAGTGCGGTGCAGGGCGGTGCAGTGCGGTCCAGTGCGGTGCAGTGCGATGCAGTGCGGTGCAGTGCGGTCCAGTGCGGTGTAGTGCGGTCAGTGCGGTTCAGTGAGGTGCAATGCGGTGCAAGGCGGGGCAGGAAAGTGCAGGAGGGTGCAAAGTGGTGCGGGGAACGGGGGACAGTACCAGGAAGTATGGAGGGCCGGGGCAGGCGCGACGGGGCCGGGCAGGCGCGACGGGGCCGGGCAGGCACGTCGAGGCCGGGCAGGCGCGACGGGGCCGGGCAGGCGCGACGGGGCCGGGCAGGCGCGACGAGGGGCCGGGCGGCTGCGACGGGGCCGGGCGGCAGCGACAAGGCCGGGCGGCAGCTACGAGGCCGGGCGGCAGCGACAGGGCCGGGCGGCAGCTACGAGGCCGGGCGGCAGCGACAGGGCCGGGCGGCAGCGACGGGGCCGGGCAGGACACAGCAGGGCCGGGCGGGGGCGACGGGGCCGGGCGGGCGCGACGGGGCCGGGCAGGTGCGACAGGGGCCGGGCAGCTGCGACAGGGGCAGGGCGGGCGCCACGGGGCCGAGAGGCTGCGACAGGGCCGAGCTGGGGCGACGGGGCCGAGCAGGGGCGACGGGGCCGAGCAGGGGCGACGAGGCCCAGGAGGGTGGATACGGGGCCCAGGGAGGAGCGCGGCAGGGCCCAGGAGGGGCGCAACAGGCCCAGGAGGGGCGCTACGGGCCCAGGAGGGGCGCAATGGGGGCCCAGGAGGGGCGCAATGGGGGCTCAGGAGGGGCGCAATGGGGGGCCCAGGAGGGGCGCTACGGGCCCAGGAGGGGCACTACGGGCCTAGGAGGGGCGCGACGGGGCCCAGGAGGGGCGCTACAGGGCCCAGGGAGGGCGCGACGGGTCCCAGTAGGGGCGCTACGGAGCCCAGGAGGGGCGCGACGGGGCCTGGGAGGGGCGTTACGAAGCCCAGGAGGGGCGCTACGAAACCCAGGAGGGGCGCGACGAGGCCCAGGAGGGGCGCTACGGGGCGCTACGGGGCCTGTGAGGAGCGCAACGGGGCCCAGGAGGGGCGCTAAGGGGCGCGACGGGGCCCTGGAGGGGCGCTACGGGGCCCAGGAGGGGCGCGAAGGGGCGCGACGGGGCCCTGGAGGGGCGCTACGGGGCCCAGGAGGGGCGCTAGGGGGCGCGACGGGGCCCTGGAGGGGCGCTACAGAGCCCTGGAGGGGCGCGACGGGGGCCTGGAGGGGCGTTACGAAGCCCTGGAAGGGGGGGCGCGACGGGGCCTGGAGGGGCGCTACGAGGCCCTGGAAGGGGCGCGACGGGGCTAGGGGGAGGGGTCGCGACTGGGGTCAGGAGGGGCGAGGCGAGGCTAGGAGACGCGACGGGAGGAGCGGAAGCGGTAGGTGGGGGGGGGGGGGGCCGAAACCTACTCGTGATACCATATCAAACCTAGAATTTAATAATGAGAGAGAGAGAGTACACAAACATATACCTAAATGTTGTACTCTCTAGAAGGTGACCCTATACAGTCTATACAAACATGATAACTACACATGTTTGACACTGCCGTGGTCAGTTTCTCTCTCTTAGGTGTCACGTCCGTGACTCGTGTCCCGTCTCCGCTCACACCATCGTTCTCACGTCCTTCCCCAGCATCCTCTCTCACACCCAACCCCCCCCCTCCCCCTCATTGCTCCACCCACCCCCTCCACCCCCCCAAATGCAGCGCTGCACACCGCAGGCACTCGCCCGAAGCATTACGTCGTCGTAGCGCCGCGCCAGTGGTCCTGGCGTATTGGAAGGCGATGAAATGCAGAGGAATTTGATGCTTGGAGAGTGGCAGTCCTACAGTGCTTAGGAACAGACCACCCCCCCCCCCCCCCAATACAACCAGCCTGCTGTGGCAATACCTTGCTCCACTCCGTTCAATTCATCATGCTTACTCATCATCCAATACTCGTCATGCAATACTCGTCATGCAATACTCGTCATGCAATACTCGTCATGCAATAATCGTCATGCAATACTCGTCATGCAATACTTGTCATGCAATACTCGTCATCCAATACTCGTCATGAGTTCATTTATTTGGCTCCATTCCTCCTCGTGTCATCATGAGTTCATTTATTCGCCTCCATTCCACCTCGTGTCTCCCATCCCATGAGCGCTTCAGCGAGGGACGGACTACTTGCACCGCCTTGCCTCGTACCATTCTAAACAGCTGTGGTAGCCAGGTCCAGAAATCCTGAATCATACTTTCATTTCAGGCTTGTGTGCATCAGGGATTTCAATCCGGGTTCACTTTTGAGCCAACTCAGAAGTCAAGTCGACTAAAAAGTCACATTTTCATTTCAGGCTTGTGTGTAGGATCCTTGCAGGGGCGCAGTGGTACATGTAGCCAACTCATTGGAGCAAGAATGGAAGGAAAGCCACAGCTCAGCTCCAGACAGTAGGGTATGGTATCAAGAATTCTCAGGAACCATCCGTGCTGCTGAACTAGGTTTTACGAACTGCCATCAATGAGTGGAGTGTACCCCCAAACATGTCGTCTGAGAGGGAATCTGGAAACGAGTGTGCAGCATGGCGAGCTCTGACGCGCCTAAAAAAATAGACTCCTCAACGAGGGTGCAACATGGCATGCGCCATTCTGTGGTGAGTGAAGAAGGCGAGGTTTCGTTATTGGAGCATGCCGTTGGAAACGGGCGTAACGCCGTGGCGCAACAGGTGGTGCAACGCAGCAACAGCATCCTCTGTTGACTGCACCTCCGATGGCGAGTTGAACGATAGGCGCTGCACGTTGAACTGTGGGGGGGAAGTGGGGAGGGGAGGGGGAGGTTTGTGGAGGATTAGGGGTCTACAGTGGAAGGGGAAGTTTCCCTGTGTATGGCACAGCATGTACGGCACAGCATGTACAGCACAGCATGTACAGCAAACCACGCGCAGCAAACCGCGTAGAGCAAACCACATATGGCACACCAAGCACCGTGTACCTTAGCCCCATTTCTGACTCGGATGTCCACCCCCTTGCCGTCGATGCTGATGAACAGTGCATCATCCACCGGCTGCGGCAGGATCGACGCTAGCTGGCGCTTCAGATCCGATCCCAGCCGCACATTCAGCTCCTGCTCAGAGGGGGGAGGCGGGTGGAGAGAGGTGGTGGGAGAGCAGGAGGTTGGAAATTGGAGGCGGGGAGAAGGTAGAGAGAACAATGCAAGGTAGCGATGAGCTCTGAACCTTCCTTCTCATATACACTCTCAACCGGGAGAAGGTAGAGGAGCACCAGGATGAGGTAGAGGAAATCATGCTATTTGCACACACCGCAGCAAACACTCTCAACCGGACCTTGTGGACTTTCTCAGGTCTAAAAAAACCTGGTTACAAGTTTAAGCAAGGTACTGACGTCGCAAAAACTCTCTCCCCCCTCCCCCCCCCTCCCCCCCTTCAGACACAAGCTGTTCACTTTCGTTAAGGTCACGGTCATACAGCAGCCTACTCTCAAGAAGGTGACGTACAAAAGCGTTTCTACTCGCTCAGCTGCACACAGCTGCACACAGCTGCACACAGCTGCACACAGCTGCACACAGCTGCAGCCTACTCGCACACGCCATACAGGCGTGCAAAAAAACCATCAGACAAGTGACAGCTTCTGTAGTCACACACATGCTCTTGTTACTATCACCTGCACAAAGTCCGCCCCCAACTAAGTGCCACCGTCACTCACATGCAATGCAAGGTGGCCTCTGTGTTGTGCAGATGTTGCCATCTATGATCCATCCAAGCATGAGCCACACCGCCCACATGCCATGCTCCCTCCACAACGCCCTCGGCCCACCCATCACTCACATGCAGCGTGGCCTCTGTGTTCTGCAGCACGATGGCATCTGGCGTGGCAGCAAGGTAGTCCTTCACGTCTATCCATGCCTGCGCCACAACCCATGTTTCCACCACAACCCATGTTCCCACCACAACCCATGTTCCCTCCACAAAGCCCCCCCTTCCCCCCCCCCCTTTCCCTCACATGCAAGGTGGCCTCTGTGTTCTGCAGCACGATAGCGTCTGGAGTGGCAGCAAGATAGTCCTTCACATCTATCCACGCCACCGTGCCAAACCCGCCCACGAAATAGATGTCGCTGGGGATGGGGTGGGGGGGAGAATGGAGGAGAGGATATAAATGTAATGGAGGAGAGGATATAAATGTAAGAGACACGATCCAGAGAGAGACACGATCCAGAGAGAGACACAGAAAGAAGAGGGGCGACTTCCACGGATGGTAATAGCCTGATCAAACTCAGTTACGCGGGCTAGTAACCCTACCAGATGTGCTGCATGCGGTAGTAGCTGAAGTTGCCCCACATCTGCGCTGCCCCGTGCTGGTGCCGCCTCGCAAAGAAGCGCTGCGCCCACTGCTGCTGGCTGGGCGGCACCGGGTACACATCCCCAAAGATGGTGGCTCGAGCGTTGGCCAGCCCACTCCACCCAGGGATCTGCAGAGAGAGAGGGGGATGGCCGAAGGGAGTGTGGGAGGGAGCCAAGTGCGTGTGGGAGAGAGGGAGACAATAACCGCTCCAAAGATGGTGGCTCGAGCGTTGGCCAGCCCACTCCACCCGGGGATCTGCCAAGGAACGATGGGATGCACTCCAGTCAGCAGCAGAAACGCGTGGAGGGGAAGAAAACCAAAAAAAAAACGAGAGGAAGAACCAGAAATTGGGGCGACATAAATAAATCGCTTACCTGAACAACAAGAGTGCAGCGAGGGTCTGCAAGGATGTTGCGAGTGTGGATCGAGAGCGGAGAGAGCAGGAAGATGGGATCTGCACACGCGCGCGTGCGCACACACACACACACACACACACACACACACACACACACACACACACACACACACACACAGATATGAGGATTTGTTTAAGAGAGCTTGGCTACAGGATACCTGGGAAAAGGAAATGGATGAGCCATGAGTTGTGATGAACAATTCTCACACAAGGAGACCCGCAAGCGAAGCTTTGTCCACAAAGTTCCTGGAAGTTCAGAAAACATCAGAAAGTTCTTGGGAAGGTGATTTGATAACCCCAGCCAAGCCCTCAACTCACGGCCTTCGTCGTCGGTGGCGAAGTCCACAAGGGAGCCAAAGGGGTAGCCCTTGCGCCGATGGTGCATTCGCGACATGATGCTGCACAGATGGGCGAAACCGGCCTGTGGTGCGTGTGGATAAAGAATGGGGATAGGGGAGAACATGGGGAGGGGATGGGGATAGGGGAGACGGTGAGAGACATGGTGATGGTGCATTCGCGATATGATGCTGCACAGATGGGTGAAAACCGGCCTGTGGTAGATAGTGCAGGGATGCGGACATGGATGGAACAGAGACGATTTTTGATTCGACTCCAAAATCACCCATAAATTACGATTTCTGAGTCGACTGATTTTTTAGTCGACTAAAAAATCACCCATAGATAGAACGGAGACGATTTTTTAGTCTGACTTTAAAATCACCCATGGATGGTGGATTTTTAGTTGACTAAAAAATCACCAAAATCACCCATGGATGGAACGGAGGCAACGAAAGCAATGGGGACAGAGCAGGGGGGTGGGGAAATACAGATATCTGGGATGGCGCATGCATTTAATATGTTAACACACTCTAGTCTTACACCGTTTGAAACGGGAGTGTTGCACTTGAGCTGTTTGAAACCTGGAGTTCTTTACACTGAGAGCTTTTTAAACCGGAGGTTTCTTAAACTCGGGGTTTCTGAAACTGGGAGTTTTTTTAACTGGGAGAATTTTTAACTGCGGTTTGTCTATACTGGAGGTTTTTTACACAGGGGGTTTTTGAAACCGGGGGTTTTCGAAACTGGACTCCAGGGTTTGGAAGCAAGGTTTTGGGCAGGCTCACTCACCCAAGTACAAAAGAATGAACCATCATCCAGCCACATCATACCTACAAACAATCCCCCCTCTGCCAAACACCACCCGCCCTACATACATACCACCTTTCTGATATGCGTCTCACCTGCTCCACTAAATTCCGCACAGCCACGGCGGGCGCGGGCAGCCAGCGAGCCACATAGCACCCACTCCCGTTGCCACCTGCCTAATAAATGCCTCACCTGCTCCACTAGATTCCGCACAGCCACGGCGGGAGAAGGCAGCCCGTGAGCAGCAGTGGCGCTCTGCACTCCGCCTGACACTGGTACCCGGTACAACCCCGCCCTGCTGCTGCTGCCGCTGCCGCTGCTGCCAATGGTGTCACTGCTGCTGATGGCGGTGGTGCTATCACTGCTCGTGCTGCTGCTAGTACTTTCTGGTAGTGCTGGTGCCACGCCCGCCAGTGCCGCTGGTGCTGCTGCGGCTGCTGCGGCTGCCTCTGCTACTTCTGAAGCTGCTCGGTTCTCTGGGTCTGAGAGGCGATGATCGGATGGGAAGAACTGGAACTGAAGGGGGGAAGGGGGGAAGGAGGGAAGGGGGGAAGGGGGGGAATGAGAGAATGAGAGAATGAGAGAGAGGGTCGGACGGGGAGAAATGGAAAGGGGCGTGGGGGGGGTGGGAGTTAGCACGAATGAATGCAGTCGGAATCAAAATGAGATTGGGAGGGAGGGATACGGAGGGGGGGGGGGGGGGGTGGGGGAGAGAGAAGGGAGGGGGAGAAGAGAGGGGGAGAGCTTGAGAGAGCTTCCAATTTTTTACTTAAGCGTTTTCCACGGTTGCTGCCACGTAAAGGCCTATGGCACCCAAGGGGTGTTCACTCGAGCTTGAGAGAGCTTCCATTATCGATAGATGGCTAGTTTTGAGGCGCCTCAAAACTTGAGAGAGCTTCCATTATGGATAGATGGCCCAGATAAGAGAGAAACCTTTACTCACCCCGTTGTCGAGCGATACTGAACCGCCCTCCACCAACTCGTCCTCCTCCTCTCCCTCCTCCCCATCCACTTCCAAAACCTTCCCTTCAAACTCCTTCCCTTCAAACTCCTTCCCTTCCTCCACATCCCGCCCTCCCTCCACGTCAGATCCCTGCTGTCGCTCCTCGCTCCCCACGCCCCCCCACCCACTGTCACCCACCGTGCTCCTTCCCTCAACCCTAACCCTCCCTCTCCTCCCCCGCCTCCCCGCTCTCTCCGCTACAACCGCGCTACAGCCGCTGAAGGGAGAATCCGGGACGGCGTCGGCTGTTGTATGTAGATGTTGGTGGGCGACGGGTCGAGGAACGGAGGAGAAGTTGGACGCGTGGCGGCCTCGGCACGCAGCGCCACAGGGCGGCGTTTGGAGGGTGTTAGCTGGGGGAGGCAGAAGCTGAGACGGGCGGAGCTGGAAGGGAACGCTGGGCGCGGGGAGAAGGAAGATCGGAGAGGAAGAATGGGCGACGGGTTATGGGAAAAGAGGGGGAGCGCGGCGAATGCGGAAAGGAAGGAGGGTTCATGAGGGTTTATACATGTGATTCGTGAAGCAATGGGTGTGTGTGTGGGGGGGAGGTAAGGGGGGGAGGGGAGGGAAGAGAGGGGGGCGGAAACGAAAGGAATGAGTAACCCTGGATCACCATGTGATACGACAGATCCTTGCCATCTTGGCCCGCGTATCAAATATCTCTGGGTTTCCTCTCTGACTCGTTTCCACGTTTACGAGCAGTACGCACCAGGGCTCACTTTCCCTCGAAACCTCCCATTCAAACCCTCCCTACGGTTGTGCGGACCTCTCCCCATACAAAGCTTTGCCTCAAAACCACTCAGACGATCCCGAGGACCGAAGGCCAGCTAGTGGATACAGATCGACATGGCGTCCTAGCCAACACCTGTCTGCTGTACCGCGCACATAGCTGCCGCAGCTCTGTGTCCCGTTATAAGCTCACCTGCTAGCGGATCGCAGTCGGATCGGCGGGTGCACTCTGGTCGTCTGGCTGGCACGGCTAGCCAGGCTGCCCGCCCCGACCACCGCCTGCATTCCGGCGACTGGATCGCGACGCAAGGCGACGCAACGCGATGGGAGGCGACGCAAGGCGACGCGCTACGGTAAGCAGGTCGTGGGTACGCTAACGAGGTTGGAGAGTCGAGATGCGAGGAGAGGACGGGTGACGCGAGACGGGAAACCGAGGACGAGAATGGACGAAAGAGGAAGCGCAGCCTGATAGGTGGGATCGCGAATGTCGACTAAAAGGGTCCTGCTCAAGGCTCAAGTTGAAAAAAGTACGGCTTGGCTGCTAGATACCATGACCTTCAAGAAGCTGGGAACCGACCACACACCCAAGTTATACGTGCAGAGTCGGGAAAACCCCTGCCAAGCTGCGTGTGTGTGTGGGTGTTTGTGTGTGTGTGTGTGTGTCTCTGTGTGTGTGTGACCTTGGTTTCGCAGTACAGTACAGTACAGTACAGCAGGCCGGGGAGCCCTTGCACGGCGGATTCGCTGGAGCTGGACAGGCATCGAGGAAGGAGCGACAGTTGGTTGATGGGCTTTGCCGAGTCACGCTTCAGCTACGTGGCATGTGAGTTGGCATGGCGGCTGGTGACGGAAGGGATGTTCCGCTATGCATAATTTCGCCATTTAGAGCAGGTCCAAGAACATTGTTCCAAAAAAGTCCCAGTTTAGTGACATTCTACAACAAGCCTTCTCATTGCCATGCATTTTCATGGTAATCACATTATGAAAATAGCAGCATACAAACATATTCACAATATCACCTTTTTCAGCGAAGATTTTTTAGACCTAGGCTAGCAGGCTAGGACCATCAAATGCAAGGCCAAGTAGTGTAGATTCAGATGCTCTCAGCCTTGTAATGCTCTCCTCCAATCGAGCCCTACGTTGCTGATCGACCTGCTTCAGAGCTGCAATCTTGGAGATATCCCCGCTATGAACCTCCCGCCACACAGCACCATCGGTGCCATCAAGGAGAGCATTCTTGAGACACATCCTGATTTGCATTGGGATCACGTCACACAGCCTCTTATGCATCACCTTGGCATAGGAGAACATGTTGATCTGCAGATCCCTTGCGGGCTGGTCGTCGTTGCTTAACAGGTTAGCGAGTGAAGCGGTACTGGAAGCGAAATCACCAACATCAGGAACAGGAGGGGGGCCTTGATCCTGGTTACCAGACTGCGCTTTCTTGTAATCAGCAATCTTCATGTGTATTTCAGACACCGTGTCCATATAGTAGTGGTTGAGCGTGAAGATCACCTCCTCCTCCTTCGTCAGCAGGTTTTTTAAGAAGCGATTCGCTGACTCCATTGCCTTCCTCAGAGCATTCAGGCCTTGAAGGTGAGCCGCGTTGTTCAGTCCAGGATACATCCCACAGACTTGTGATGCCACCGCTTGCTGAACCTCGGCTGCATAGGCAAAGCAGTCGTTCACCAGAAGGAAGCATGGTGCTTCAATACTGTCAACCACCTCCTGAACAAGCTGCTTCACCACCGCTTGATCAAACATGTTAGGAAGAGAAATGCCAGCAACTTCTTTCAAAGCCTCCTTGCACCTTTCAGTGTAGTCTGCTCCAAGGAAGTCGGGAAGAACTCGCCGCATCTGAACCTCAAACTCGTTGAACTTCTCGTGCAGCCTTGCAGCATAGTGCATAGCATCATCGCTCTGAAACGAGCCATACTTTCCACTGATGACACCACTCATCACATCTCGCCTCCTCTGAATTGTTGCTGAAATGACGCCCAGCGCTGCAGCATTAGAGGTTGCAGCGAATGGAATCGTCTGCAATTCATTCTCCTTACCAACAAGTGCCTTTTGAATGGCCTGCCTGATCCTTGGGATGCTGTCTGCTACCCTCTTGGCTTGGATCTCCGTCAGGCGTTGAGCAAGGGCTGGAATTCCCAGGCAATGGGACTCAATCTGGCTCAATTCCGGGTGGCTGTTGAAGAAAGCCGCTTCTGCCCTTCTTGCATCGTCATGAGAAGCATCAGCATCAGTCTTGTTCCTGACACACACGTATCCAAGCCCAATTCGAACTGAATTGCCTTGGATCTTCTCGTAGAGGCCATCAGGAGCCCTGTCAACCTTGGTGACGACAGCCAGGGTGCGATCACCATCGCTGTCAACCTCTTGAGACATGACGATGGACTCGCACGTGGAGAAATCCACCTCAGCTGCAAGGACGTTGAGAATCACGCTCTCTTTCGGAGTGATGTAGTGCATGATCATGTTCTTGACCTGATTGTAGATGTCCTTCGGCTGGTCTTCAATAGGCACCCTGGTAATTCCAGGCAGATCTACCAGGGTCAAGTCAGGCAAGTCGGGCCGCTGCACTTGCAGAGTGATCGGGCAATTCATGACGCCTTTCCTGCTCCCAGCTAAGGCAATTGTCGCCTCGGAAATCTCCTCCTCAATCATCTCTTCGTCAGATAAGACTTTGGAAACCTTACCAGTAACGGGGGTGTATTCAATCGTTATCATATCCTTCCCTTTCACACAAGACTGCAGCCTCAAGATCAGAGGCACTCGGGTGACGATCCCCTTGCCTCTCGGCAGGCTAATACCGGACAGGTTCTCCAGGACAGACGACTTGCCGCTGGATTGGTCACCGACCACAACGATAGTCGGGAGCTCGATCCCCTCTTCCTTCAGACCTAGAAGCCGGAGCTTGTCGATCGCATCTAGCATGGGACGGACATTCTCGTTGAAGGACGAGATGAGAGGCGCCATGGTGAGGCGAGCAGGACTGACCTGAGAAGTATTGGAAGTAGGATTCAGAAAAGCGGCCAGAAAGCGTAACATGCTTCGGAATTAGAATCCGCTAAGCTAGCCCCTTATATCGCAGCAAGCGGCTCAGCACATCAGCCACGGACGGGCAAACCGTCCAAGTGTCATGTTGCCCGCTGGGAGCACTACTACTCACGCTGCGGCATTGCTGCACTGCTCGCTCCATGCGAACGCAGGCACGGCCGTGAAGCTAACCCCGCACGAGGTGGAACAAGGTGAGAATCCGCTACGCTATTGGTTTGCAAAACGTGAGCCTTGGAGTCAACGAAGCAGAATCAGGCATGACCGATTCGGACGGGGCGACACAGGAATAGGGCTCGCGATCTCCGAGCAAAGAAGTTGCTACATAGAGGTGGACTCGCAATGGCATGTACCCGCGAGGTAGCTTGGAATGACCGAAATGCGATTCTAGGTCACGCCCCGAGCAGCTTGCTGCTGCTGTTGTTTTGAAGTTCCTACCGAGGGCGTGGGGAAGGCGTGGGCTCAAGCACAGCTCGCGAACCGTTAGTGCCAAATCATATTTTTTTTTGGGTTGCGGAGCAACCTATTGCGATCGATCGTAAGGATTTTTTTTTCAAGTTTGTGATTTGGAAAATAAACTATCAAATCTTTAAAAAAATGAATTTCCCAATAACTTTTAGTTTCCCAAATTGATTTGAATCTAAAATGTTTGTCATTGTTTCCCATTATTCCCAGTGGCGTATTTTTTTCATTGACAAAAATAGGCTATCGCTTCCCCAGCTAAGTGGGGGAAGTCGAAAGCCTATTATGTCGACCGTGAGATAATACATTTTATGATAGCAATAAAATCATCAGCAAGCAATTTTTTTTTTGACAAGCAACAATGCAATTCAGACAGCTTGGAATATAAACGGTGTTTAGCTGACGCTCATAACGAAGCCACTTTTCAGCTTTCACGAGTGCTTCGAATCCTGTGTCAAGTATACAAGAATACCAAGGGAATTAGAGGGGATCAGGAAACAAGGCAAGAAGTAGAGCAAGAAACAGACGGTGAACACAAATTAGATAATGATACAAGAAACTAAGAAGAAAGGGTTGCAGAAAAACGGCAAAACAGAAGTAAAAATGGGTTGCACCTCAATAAAACGACGTAGATCTAGGTCGAAGTGGGCTGCAGCCCCATAAATTGACATAGATCGAGGTCGAAAAAGGTCGCAATCCCTAAAATCGACCTAGAACGAAGTCGATATGGGTTGCAGCCCTGTAGATCGACCTAGAACTAGGCTGAAATGGGCTGCAGCCCACTAATACGACATAGAACAAGGTCGAAATGGGCTGCAGCCCAATATCCCGACCTAGAACCATCGAGTTCGCGGAAAGAAGATAGGAAATGCGAGGAAATTAGAGGCAACTATGAGAGGTAGCTCTGCTGAACGACATACCTGTGCTATGAGAGGTAGGTCTGCGAGAGGAAAAGCAGAAGCGATCGCTGAAGTTGTTGGACCCTCGTCGCAAATTTAACATATCGAATATAAACAGTTCAGTCGAATGACGTGTGAATTAGCTCAGTTGATCGAAAGACAGATTTGACCCAGAAGCTCTCTGGTTTGAACCTTCGAAAGTGAATAAGTATTACACTTTAAGTTGTGTCTCATCCAAACTCAATTCTTACATGTTGCCTCAATTTTCAAATAAATATGTGAAGCACGATCATTTGTTCTTGTGATATGGAAATAAGAATCAACTGTTTGTTTGTGATATGGAAAATGCCGGCTTCTATCCAACAAACGGAGTGATTATTTGGTATGAAAATCAAACATTTATGTATAATAAAGTCTCCTCGTCGAATGCTCCGCAACCCTAAGACGATCTCGTCGCCTCTTGTTGCTATTTTGAAAGCTTGCTTAGGTCCTCTTGAAAGGCAGCGTGCTTCATTTCATATGGGTGACATACATTGGTTCTCGTCCAATAAACTACTCAACACATAGCTAGAGTGGGTGGGCGGGGAAACTCAAATGAGTTGAACTAGAAATGAAGAACGTGAGTGAGGCCGAGAGGCCTCACGTTCCTCTTTTGAATGCAAAAGAGGGTTAGGTGCGCTTCGTCGCTGCCTTTGCTGCGTTGGCTCTTGCTACACTATCACAATACACATTTTTAGAAAGCGCTACACGCTTTCAAAAAAATACATATTGTGAAAGCTTGCTTAGGTCCTCTTGAAAGGCAGCGTGCTTCATTTCATATGGGTCTTCTGAGGCATGTGGAGGATGGGTCGGCGTTGCCGTTCGATGGACAGCTGGTGGTTGTTGGGCGATGGGGCTGCGGATGGATCTTGAAGCTGTGTGGAGGCTGCAAGAAGGTGGTCTTGCGAGATAGTGACGTAGAGCTCATTCGCACTGTCGCTGCGCCATTGGCCTAGACGCTTGAAAAGCCTGTCAGGTATCCCCAGGCTGGCCGTTGCGGTCGCGGCGCCCTTGCGGAAAGAGTGGGTGCCGAGTTTGGTGGGGTCGAGGCCTGCTGCGGCAAAGGCTTCCAGACACCAATTCCGAATGGTTGTGTATGAAGGTGCAGCGTCCCGTGGGGTGGCCTTGCCTCTGGTCGCAAAGATGCGAATCAGAGGCCCGTGTGGGGTGGCGGTGAGGCCTGCAAGGTGAATGAAGCGCCGCGTGCAGCTGACGGGGCAATAGGGTGTGGTTGTGGCGGCAATGGGGACCCAGGTGCCTTTGCCTTCCTGATCCGTCTTAGAGTGTGGGATCAGGACCCACATTGCCTTGTCCTCAAATTGTATGTCATTCCACTGGATGCTGACAAGGTCCGAGTAGCGTAGGAATGCTGCGAACATGAGCAACGGAATGAGACCCTTCTGGTATGTGGCTGGGTTAATTGATTCGAGGAAGGGACGGGCCATAGTATGGACTTGGTGGAGCGACAAGGGTTCCTTATTCCTTGTGGGGCGTGCCCCATGGCGCTTGGCAA